TTGTAACCTTGGCCAGATCTGTGCCTTGCCACAATTCTGTCTCTGAGCTCCTTGGGCAGTTCCTTCGACCTCATGATTCTCATTTGCTCTGACATGCACTGTGAGCTGTAAGGTCTTATATAGACAGGTGTGTGCCTTTCCTAATCAAGTCCAATCAGTTTAATTAAACACAGCTAGACTCCAATGAAGGAGCAGGACCATCTCAAGGAGGATCAGAAGAAATGGACAGCATGTGAGTTAAATATGAGTGTCACAGCAAAGGGTCTGAATACTTATGACTATGTGATATTTCAGTTTTTCTTTTTTAATAAATTTGCAAAAATTTCTACATTTCTGTTTTTTTCTGTCAAGATGGGGTGCTGAGTGTACATTAATGAGAAATAAAATGAACTTTTTTGATTTTAGCAAATGGCTGCAATGAAACAAAGAGTGAAAATTTTAAAGGGGTCTGAATACTTTCCGTACCCACTGTATGTGAATGAGCACTACACAATTTATTATGCATTCAGTACACTTGTGGGTAGAGTCACACGTAAGGTATTTAAAACGGACAGTCAGACATCTGATCTCGTTCACATTGTATCAGCCCACAACTCTGTCTCATGTCCGGTTATCTGAAAAATATCTTGCTGCCTCATCCCCTTACTTGCCACATATAAAAATACATTCATTTGATCAGCATTTTAATGATCTCATCACTAACTATAAAATATACAGTATAAAGGCTGGGATAAAACAAAGTACTATACTTAATAATTAAATGCTCTGTTTCCATCATTGAGTTGACACGTTCAGTTTTCTAATCACAACAAAAGTTTAGCTTAAGGAAATGCTTCATGAGAATGTTATAACAAGGGAAAATACCTGAATATGGCCAACTACACGTTGTTTGCATGTAACAAGATGTTTAGTAGAAATATTAATACAAGCTTGTTCAATTAATAGTCCTTCTGTACAAATCTCTTTTTACTACATAGTTCTGAAATAAAGCCAGGGTATTACGTACATGAATATTCTCATGGCATATTTAACCATTTTTCATTGTTACAAAAAATATAATTTTTAAACACATGCATTGTACTAATAGGCTTATATATAACTTATTGATAACTGAGTCTGCATCCAGCCAAACAGTTTATTATAAACTACAGTTGCAACTGGTACTAGATCATCCAGGCAGTTTTCAAACATCTGAAAACCAAGAGACTGATTTTAGATATTTAATGAAAAAATTTAATGAAACAATGCTCCTTTTCTTCTTAGTTGAACATTTAGCATAATGAAAGGTTTTGTCTTATTTAAACATGAAATAACTGTGAAGATGCTTGGATACCAAATCCATAAACATCAAAGACTTTGTGAAAATCAATAGATTATTATTTATTTATTTGAGGTCACATTTAAGATTTAATTTTATTCAACAGAGTTCAACAGAGAGAGTGAATGGAGCAGGACAAGGTAGTTAGTATAGGAAATGCTTAATCTTGACAAATCACACACTAAAAAAAAACAAAGTTTGAAAGAGCTTTGTATATAATATCTCGTGCTGTATATGCAGGTATCTCATTGTTATAATTTAATGCACTAGACCTAAGAATTCATGAAATATTTCTTCATTTTAGATCTGCTCCAGTGTCATACACCTTATGACAGATGACCAGCTAAGAGAGTATCTGCCATCTTATGGTGATCGACTGGCTGTTTTTGGATACTGCAGACGGAAGGAAAAAGAACCCAATAATCGCAAGTCAAAAATCTTTGAGCGACTTCGAGTAAAGGAGAATAGTGATGCAACTGCACAAGAAGGTGACAAGACACATGACAGACATGATACCGATCACCACACTCCAGGCTAGTGTTGTCACAATACCAAAATTATTGTTTCGATACCGATACCAAGTCAAGAATTGCGATTTCGATACTTTTTCGATACTTTTCCTGAAAAGGGAGAAACGGTCTCAAATATCATTGCTGTGCTTTATTTTAAAACTGGGACCAGATTTTAATCATATAGCACACTAATGAATGAACATATGAACAGCAGATCTATTAAACATTTGAACAAAATATGAAATATCAAAATATAAAAAATAAATTAGATCAATGACATTCAAGGTAAAAAAAATAATAAATTTAGCAGCATTATCTCAGTTATCATAAGAAACATAAGAGAAAACATAACTTTATCTTGATTCTGAACTTTGAAAAAAAACAAATAAAATTTAGCAGCAGTATCTCAGATATTGTAACTTATTCTGTCAGTTGTGCAACCTTTCCTTTCAGAGGAGAAAACTCAGCTATTGAGCCTGTGGCTCCAGACTTCTGTAGCAGAAGAAAATGGAAATATTTAAAATATGATGGTGATAAATTTGTCATAACAGAGGATCTAAATAGTTTATGTGTGATAGTAACAATAACTTGTGACTAACTTAGCATCTCTATATGCAGTGGTTATAGTGATAACTGCTAACATTTACTTAACCATAACATTACCATAATTAATAATAGGAATTAATGAGTTAACCTAATGTTATTTAAGCTGTGATATATGGATTAATATAGGCTAATGTTTCCTGTACTTCAACGTCTGATTTCTTTCATGGTTAACTTTATATTTGAGTCCATAATTTCTTACAAGGCGTTTCACAAATACTCCTCCTTTGCGTAGGTCTGTGCTCTTTAAATGCTGTAATAACCCAATATAAATAAAATTTGTATTTTATATTTATGGTTTTTTTTTTACTTTCTGATCCGGTCCCCAGAGGAATCACGGCTAAACAATACTAACAATGGACAATACAATACTAATGTGGTAGCCTTAAATTTGTTTTTGTTTTATATTTTTAATACAAACAGAAAAGGACTTGACAAATTTTCTGAATATGAAAAGTTAGGTTTAGATAGTGTAACTTACCAATAGCGTTGTGCAGTCTGTGTCCAAAACATGCGAGTCTCGTCCATTTATTGATTTCCAGAGCGCGCACCATGTTTGCACCGCTGTCAGTTGTCATGCACACCAGACGCGCTTCATCCAAGCCCCAGGCAGAAAGTGCATCCTTCAGTCCTAACGCAATTATTGCTCCGGTGTGGTCTTCGGGGAAGAAGGCGGTCTGTAGGCATCTGCTGCGCAACTTCCAGTCATCGTCAATGAAGTGGATGGTGAGGCTAATGTATGGCTCAGTAGTCCGGCTGGACCATAAATCAGTAGTGGCCGAGTAGGCTTCAAGGTGGCGAATTTCGTTCATGACTCTGTCCCGTACCGCCGTGTACAGCTCTGGCAGACACTTCTGGCTAAAAAATTTCCAACCAGGCAGCTCGTATCTTGAGTCCAGAGTGTGAACCACATATCTGAAGCCATCTCTCTCTATGGTTTGAATGGGCACCATGTCCTTTGCGATATATAGCGCAATTGCCCTGGTAATATCTTTCTATTTCTTACTACTCTTGTCGTAAGGTGTAGCAGCAGTAAACGATGCCTGCAGTGAAAGCTGTGTACCCTTGGGACGTGCTCCGCTGGTGCTGCCTGTTCCAATTGCGCTCGTTTTGGCCCGGGTTGCCTCGTCATATTCACAGGCGTGCGTGTTTTTTAAATGATGAAACAGGTTGCTTGTGTTTCCACCTCTTGCTGTCACAACACGGCTGCAAACCTTGCATATTACTGAAGTTTGCTCCGTGTCGGATGATTTAAAACCGAACCAGTTCCAAATAACGGAGGTCCCTCCTCTTTTTGGAACGAGAGTTTCCTCTCCAGCGGCCTCGGTCTCTCCATCTGGTTCCGACACTCCACTCATCTCTTTTCAGATAATATAGGCTACAGGCCCGACCTTTCTTTGCGATGTTTCACCAGTCGTTTCTTTATCGATTACCCAGGTTAATTGCTTGTTACGCTAATTTAATGGCCACTCCCTTTTTACCACCTGCAAAGCTGATACAAATATGTTTTACTTTTTTATTTGCAACAAGATATATAGAATATAAGGACGGGTATTCAGACCACAACTGAACGTTTGAAGAAAATGTAATGCCTTATTATTTAGAATTAGGCTATTATTGATGTAAATGCAGCCGTTCAAGGCGCACAATTGATTTATCACGGTATTGACGGTATTGCAAAATCCATGTCGTGGCGCAATGTCACACCCGTGATGACTATGACACCGGTGTACCGCCCACCCCTAGCCTATAGATCATTTTAGCTGATGTTGTGTATGCTTTATTTTAGCAGCTTGCAAATGATTAACGTTATCTGTGAAAGTTGCGTTTTCAGAGATGTTGAATTAGTCATAGGCAGGCTATTGGTTAGCCATGAGGATAATGCCCATAGTCAGCCTACTATTTCTCTAGATAGCCTCGTCAAACTACGGTGGTGCAAAATAGTGACTTCTCACAAAATAAACCATAACCTAATTTGACTTATTTAAGGGCATGAACGTGGTCGTGTTATCTTTCACATACTAACCTGTCGGTCTTTAAACTCCTTGCACAACTGCTTGTTGGCCAAGTGTTTCTCCAGGTTGGAGGTGTTGGCTCCCTTTGTTTACATTTGTTTGTAGCACTGATGACAAACAGGTCTCCACTTATCGGTAGCTTTGCCCTCACTGTCAGGTAGGCAAAGTACTTCCATATTTCACTCCTCGCGTCATCTTTTTCTACCAGTCGTGGACCGGCGGCCACAGTATCACATTCAATTCAATTTTCAATTCAATTTTATTTGTATAGCGCCAATTCATAACAGAAGTTATCTCAGGACACTTTTCAAATAGAGCAGGTCTAGACCGAACTCTTTAACATTAATTACAGAGACCCAACAGTACCACCATGAGCAAGCATTTGGCGACAAGGGCAAGGAAAAACTGCCTGTTAAAAGGCAGAAACCTAGGACAGATCCTCCGGCTCTAGGTGGGTGGTTGTCTGTCTCGACCAGTTGGGGTGAAAGAGAGAGAGAGAGAGAGAGAGAGAGAGAGGCAGAGAGAGAGAGCGAGAGACAGACAGACAGACAGGTGCACAGCAACAACAGTATTGGCAATGGCAGTCAAGCAGGACCATGGCAGGAGGCTCCACCAGGATCCATGAGAACCTGCGAGACGAGAAAGCACAAGAACTCCGGGGAAGAAGTGGAGTTAGTAACATGCATTAATGGGACATGAATGAGTGCAGAAAGAGAGAGGAAGGGAGGAGCTCAGTGCACCATGGGAAATCCCCCGATAGTCTAGGCCTATAGCAGCATAACTAAGGGATGGTTCAGGACTCACCTGATCCAGCCCTAACTATAAGCTTTATCAAAGAGGAATGTCTTAAGCCTACTCTTGAATGTGGTGAGGGTGTCTGCCTCCCGAACCACAACTGGAAGCTGGTTCCACAGGAGAGGAGCTTGGTAACTGAAGGCTCTGGCTCCTGTTCTACTTTTAGAGACTATAGGAACCACAAGAAGCCCAGCATTCAGAGAACGTAGTGTTCTAGTGGGGTAATAGGGTACTATGAGCTCTTTAAGATATGAAGGGGCCTGACCATGAAGAGCTTTATAGGTGAGGAGAGTACAGGAGAGATGTGATCTCTTTTTCTAGTTCCTGTCAGTACTCGTGCTGCAGCGTTCTGAATTAATTGGAGCGTTTTAATGGACTTATTGGGGCAACCTGATAATAAAGAGTTGCAGTAATCCAGCCTTGAAGTAACAAATGCATGGATTAGTTTTTCTGCATCTGTCTGTGATAGTATGTGTCTAATTTTTCTAATATTACGTAAATGAAAGAAGGCAGTCCTAGAGGTCTGCTTTATGTGGGAGTTAAATGACAAATCCTGATCAAAGATAACTCCAAGATTCCTGACAGTGGTGCTAGAGGCCAAGTTAATGCCATCTAGAGTGACTATATCTTTAGACAATGAGTCTCTAAGGTTTTTGGGGCCAAGAACAAGAATTTCGTTTTTTTCTGAGTTTAACATCAGAAAATTGCAGGTCATCCAGGATTTTATGTCCTTAAGACATGTTTGTAATTTAGATAATTGATTAATTTCATTGGGTTTGATTGATAGATATAACTGCGTATCATCTGCATAACAGTGAAAGTTAATGGAGTGATTCCTAATAATGTTGCCTAAAGGGAGCATATATAAAGTAAATAGTATTGGTCCAAGTACAGAACCTTGTGGAACTCCATGACTAACTTTAGTATTTATGGAGGATTCATCGTTAACATGTACAAACTGAGAACGATCTGATAAGTATGACTTAAACCAGCTTAGGGCAGTTCCTTTAATGCCAATTTGATGCTCAAGTCTCTGTAAAAGAATATCATGGTCAATGGTGTCAAATGCAGCACTAAGATCTAATAATACAAGTACAGAGACAAGTCCATTGTCAGAAGCAATCAGAAGGTCATTATTAACTTTAACCAGAGCTGTCTCTGTGCTATGATGAACTCTAAATCCTGACTGAAAATCCTCAAATAAACTATTGTTATGTAGAAAGTCACACAACTCTTTGGCGACTACTTTCTCCAGAATCTTAGAGAGGAAGGGGAGGTTAGAAATCGGTCTATAGTTGGCTAAAACCCCTGGGTCAAGAGTGGACTTTTTAAGAAGGGGTTTAATTACAGCTACTTTAAAGGACTGTGGTACATATCCTGATAATAAAGAAAGATTAATCATATCCAGTAAAGAAGTGCCAATTAAGGGAACAACTTCTTTAAGCAGCCTAGTTGGGATCGGGTCTAATAGACAGGTTGATGGCTTCGATGAAGAAATGATTGAAGTTAACTGATGAAGATCGATAGCAGAAAAACAGTCTAAATATATATCTAAGTTTACATTGACAGAAGTCCCTGAACTTGGAGAGCCACTGATAACTGTTGATGGCAGTTGGTGATTAATTTTTTCTCTAATAGTAATAATTTTATTATAGAAGAAGCTCATGAAGTCATTGCTACTTAAGTTTATGGGGATATGTGGCTCGATAGAGCTGTGACTCTCTGTCAGCCTGCTCGCACATGCAGCCATCTCGTTACAGTGTTTGTCACATGACAGCTGCAGCTTCTTTGCTGCGTGCGTGAGGAGAAAACACACAGACGTCCATAGGGAGGCACTGGAAGCATGCGTTGGACACACCAACATGAAATAGATCTCTTACAAATCTGGAACGCGGTCATTCTTAAAAGTATCGATACTAATACATTTAGGAATCGTGACGTTTTTCATTTCCGAGAATCGCGATACTATTGAAGTATCGGTGCACCAGGCACTGCAACAAACATTGTGGAGATTAATACTTCAGATGTCATTTATGTTGGAAGCAGCACAGTATTTACAAATGCAAGCAATGATAGTGCTTCCCTTCTTTACGCCACAGTCGACCCAACTGATGCATGTAGGTCTATTGAACATGAAACATTACTTCACGTGGATGCTTTAGAGGATAGTGGCACTGTAACTTTCCACACAGAAAGCATAGCTGGGATGGAGTTCTCGAGTCATGATGATACCTTGCCTTTCTCTCCGGAACTATCTTTTGAATCACCTTTGCCCCCTCCCACAGATATGTTGCAGGAACAATCAGAGAGAAAGACAGAAAAAAATTGTTGCTCTTCATTGTGGACAGATTCTTAAAGAATTTATTCAAGTGTTTTCTGAGGAAAGTATCATGGAGGGTGACATTTACTTTCAAGTTATTCTTCCTGATGGAAAGCTTGAAATGGCTGTAGATGATGGAGGTGTTTTGAGGGATGTATTGTCAGAATTTTGGAATGACTTCAATGAGCAGTGCACCATGGGAAATGGATTCAAAGTGCCATACCTACGTCATGATTTTGGTAAACAAGAATGGGAAAGTGTATGCCGAATAATCACATTTGGCTGGCAAAAGGAGAAGTACCTTCCTGTAAAACGTGCACCTGTACTTCTGGAGCAAGCTGTTTTGGGCTTTGTGTAGAGTAATCTTGTGGACAGCTTTTTCAAGTATGTATCAGAGTCTGAGCGAGTGATTTTTGAATCTTGCCACTCAGATTTTGAAAGTGTTGACCAGGAAGAATTGTCGGAAATCATGGACATTCACAACTGCCGGAGGCTTCCAACAGCTGATAACATTGAGCAAATCTTGAGGGAGCTTGCTCACCAAAAACTGAATTAAGAGCCCGCTTTTGTGATCGAACAGTGGAGCAACACACTTGCACCTGTTAGATCAGAGCTGAAAGGGATCTCAGCAGTCTATGAAGAGCTACAACCAACATCAAGGAAGATTATGAGGTGTATTATTTACCCCAGTACCCAGAATGCCCAGGAGAAACAAATTGTCAAGTATGTAAGTGCATACCTAAGAGAGACACCCAGCACCTCTCCTTTTCCCTCAGATTTTGCACTGGATCAGACTTGTTCACAGGAAAGAGCATCACTGTCAGCTTCACACAAATTCAGGGATTTCAGAGAAGACCTGTTGCTCATACATGTGGCTGTTACTTGGAGTTGCCAGTCAGTTATGACAACTACCAAGATTTTTGACATGAAATGAACAAAGTCTTGGAAAGCAACGTGTGGGTGATGGACATTGTCTAAGATGCAAATATTTCAGCCGACTGGAATTTGGACTGCCATCACAGGCTCATTTTTAGAATTTTTCCAGAGTTTTGGCTTACAGCTACCTTGTTTAATCTTAGTGAGTGTCACAGCTTTAACACACAGTCCTCATTTTCTGCTGCTTTTTGCCACTTGTTTTGTTAAACATTGTTTTCAGTTTCAGAACACATTCTTTTAAGCAGTAAGATTGATGGCTTATTGTTAGACCTCACAAATAACCAATGAGTTATTTCAGACAACAAAGTGTTGTGGTTATTAAGAATCACATCTAATAATGCAGAGGGTCTAGCAGGGCATCCACTAGTCACCAGTTTGTGGGTCAGTCACAATTCCATGTAACCAATGTTTTTTTTTCATCCATCTGTAACTATGACACTGACCAGATGTTTCCAGTTGCTGTTCAATGAAAGTTGCCACCTCAGCCACACACTCAGTTTTGTTCTTTCTATGCCAGAGTTTCTTCTTTGGTGAGTCCAAATGTGTTATTTCAGAGAACATAGCGTTATGGTTATTAAATGAATCACATATTGTTATGTCAAAGGTAAATTTGGGATGAGAGAAAATTTGAGTCTATGTTTACTTGATAGATTTAGAAACTTTTGCTTGTAAATTTCAGATTTCAAGCACAACATGCTGTGTTCAGGTGCTGATGTTATGTACCAAAAGACAGCTTGGCACTGTCTACATTTCCATACGCCTTTTAGATGGATTATTATTTAAGGCTCCCTACTGAATGCATTTAAAACAAAAGTGCAGTTTTGTATGCAGTGATTGTCTTGAATAAAAAGTTAATTTAACACATGAGAATTTTGCATTTTTTACAGTCAGTGTAAAAACAACACAGTAATTTGTGTGTACATACATTTTGTTAGAAAGAACTGAACATATTTGGTACATCTTTAATGTTTCTAAAATAGCTACAGTTATATTTGTCTCAATCACAGGTTAAAATATGTGTGAATATATGACAAATTTCAGTCAGTGCGCAAGTTGCAGTTTGTCCTGGAATGAAACAAATAGAAAATGTGACACAGGCCCAGGTAAGTTAAGGATATACATCTAGTTCATTGGATATCAGCTGTCTGAGTTCAATATACAGGTTAACTATTTGAAACACATCATTTGTTAGTTTCAGATTATGCTCTGACATTAGGTCCACGCAGATATGGAACACATCTTCATCACATGGGAAGTCCTTGAACACACACTCTTCAAGGCAGACATTAACCTTCTCCAGGTCCACATGGTGCAAACAATCCCTGCCTCCGTACAGTTGAGGGACTGCATGCAATATGGAGGGACGTCCATGAGGTGATCGTGAGTTGTGGACTTGAAGGACTCGGTGGTTGTTCCAAGTCAATACGACCTCATTAAGTTCTTCCTAGGAGGCAAATAATATTCAGTCAGAGTGTGTAAAAATATTGGGGATTGTTAATTACTAAGTAGTCCTGGCACATGATTTGCTTCCTTTTAAGCTTTGTCTTCTTCTGTAATATGGTAGGTTGGCACATAATATTAATACCTGTTAAATGTATTTCTTCTGCAGTGCAACTAATGTTGAACAGTGCACTCGTGCTTGATTAGGACCAGTATATGCTTAAGTGTAAAGCAGGAAATCAGCTGCAGTAATGAAGGATGTAACAGTAATTTACTAAGATGAGTGGGAGCAGCACAATCACTCCATCACTACCAGTAACACAGCAACAGGAAATGATACAAAATGTATACCATAACACATTAAGAAACAATACATGGGTATTATTTATTCTCTGCACCGGACACAGGCACTGAGGTTGTTACACATGGTCATTTGTGGCTCTTAAAAATATTATTGGTCATCATTTATCATTATATGTCAATTACCTGTATTGTTTGAAGAAAGCAAAACTGGATCAAGGACTTGTCCAAAAAGTTGTCTGAAAAGTAGCCATCTTCTCTCAGTTTATCAAATAGGTCTATCCAAAACTGGACACACTCACCTCGCAAGATCAGCCACCATCGTTCAATTCGCTGGTTTCCAGTGCTTGGACCAAAGGTTACACTGTCGGTTTCAGATGGTTCTAGGAAAAATGCAAAAACCGCTGGATTTCAGCCATATGGCCATTTTCTGTTCCTAAATCAAGTCTGAGTCTGGCAGGGCACCCACCAGAATTGATCACAGCATCCATAAAGTAGCCAGCAATGATCTTAGGGTCGTTGTTTGTTTTGCATCCACTGATTCCAAATGGCTTAAGCTTGTCATAGCCATCAATGTGCCAGACATAGTTTGGACCACAGCTGTGGTAAACACGCCTTCGCAGTCTGTTTCTTGACCTCAGATCGACACCTTCACCGTCCAATAACTGTAGTAATATTCGCACCGTTTCTCTGTCAGTCACAATTCCATGTAACCAACATTTTTGGTGCATCCACCTGTAACCATGGCACTGACCAGATGTTTCCAGTTGCTGTTCAATGAAAGTTGCCACCTCAGCCACATCAGTTTTGTTCTTTCTACGCCAGAGTTGCTTCTTGCTTAAAATCCTTTAAAGGGTGCCCTTGCTTAGTACAATCCCATGTGCATCAGCAAGCAAATGAAGTATTTCATTTGTTGTAAAGCCATGTTTAAAGTAGTCCTCAATATACGCACAATCCATTTCTGTGTCAATCCCCCCACACCAAAGAGCTGCTACTTGAACTGCTGTGTGAAAATATCTCATGATAATGACTTTTTTATCTCATAATAATGACTTTTTATCTCATAATTATCTTCCATACTTCCATAGATAGGACTATACCTTTGGATATAACGAACTCTGAACTGCAACCTCACCCCGACCTGTGAGAGGCAGCAATGTGCCGTCAGGTATCTAACGTCAGTCTGCCGGAAATCCACCAGAAGAAGAGGGAGAAAAAGTCAGTTTGTACTCCTTAATCAAGGTCTTTTATTACTTATTGATTTACTTTATCTGTTACTTACTTTTAAACATAAGGTATACGTAATGCTACATGCATAGTTAGGTTGCTGTGTCCTGTCGTGAGTTGTGAAATTTGACCTTGTTCGTCAGCAACCTGTTGCTAGGTAGCTAACGTTAGCTAACGCTAGCCAAACATATTTGGTGACATCAAGTGCTTCTTTGCATGTAGCTAACGTTAAATTAAACAACACTGTTGGGTGGATTAGAAATGCTATAGGAGACGCTACAGTGTCACTGATACAAACGCTGTCAGTAAGGTCCAAATTAGCCTAACGTTAGTTAGTAAAAGACAGTAACTTAGTAAAGTTACTATGGTAACGTTTCTCGAGTGAGGATAAGTTGTACTATAACAGTTATACCCCCCCTCCAGTCAGAAATCTGTGTTTCGTCTTGTCCCTACAGTGTGATGTTTGAATGCTGTCTGTGCAGAGTTTGACACTAGAAGGATGTTTTCACATTCATCTGCTGAAAGAGAAAGTTTCTCTGTGCTCATTGAAAATGATTTTAAGGGGCGGGGCCTACCAGCATGATTTGTGACATCACAAATAGTTTTGAAGTCCATCCTGGTCCAGTATCAACTTGTACAGTGTGATGTAGAAACTTGAAGACAGCAGTGCACATCCACTGAGAACGGACTTTACAGTGTGTGCGTGGCATCAGGCATGTGACCCCGGCCCGTATTCAAGCTTCAAATTTCAGCATTTTTCCTTAAGCACACATTTGTGCCACAATAAATTAGTAACATATCTGTGTACAAAAGTTGATTAAGTTAAAAGTTTCTTTCTAAGTTAGATTATTTAACTAGAAATGTTATTTTGTACAGGTGTTTTCACATGATGACATCATTAATTTTGTACCCAAGGGAGATGTCACAGGTCCCGGGTCGTGATCCGGCCTTCATGGAGGCCATCAACCAAAACATGCGTGTTCCGGAGCACCTGAGTGTCAGTGTGGGGCAGCAGTGGCGGGAGGAGGAGGGACAGGAGGCCATAAGGAGGCCTGAGGAGCCTCCACCTACCTACACCATGCAGGTCCCTGATAGGCTGACATACGCAGGTAGGAGGGTAAATGGTAAATGGACCTGTACTTGTATAGCGCCTTTCTAGTCTTTTGACCACTCAAAGCGCTTTTACACTACATGCCATATTCACCCTTTCACACACATTCACTCACCGATGCACATCGGGAACAATTTGGGTTCAGTATCTTGCTCAGGGACACTTCGACATGTGGCAGGAGGAGCCGGGGATGGAACCAACAACCTTCTGACTAGGGGACGACCTGCTCTGCCTCTGCACCACAGCCGCCCCCAATTGATGTGCAAAGTCTGAGCAATGAATTGAGAGTATATGAGCAGGTTCCTCATAAAAGTTCAGATACTGAAAACTGAAGAAAAGTCTGCACATTTTCTGTCTGTGATTTACTCTCCCATCATTTAACAAATTCTTAAAGTTTTTGCTTATGAATTTGCTATATTGAAGAATATAGCAGTGAATTGTGAACTGTTAGATTTTTTTTCTAATGTTCTTCTGACAAAACTCTTCAAATGTATGTCAATCCAGACCTGGCATATTTAGGAGTAGCCTTGTGTTCAGTTTTCAAAGAAGCATGAAACCATTTTTTGATGGTGTGGCACAGAATGTCAAGGGACATACAATCGACTATAACAGCGTGTTTCACATGGTAGGTATTTCAGCTGTTTTTACCATTTGAATCAATACCCTGTAACACAGGCCGTGTTATGGGGCAACATCGTTTTAACAGGAGGGAAACATACTTTGCTACAAGGCAGCTGTTTTCAGAGAAACAGCCACCTGTACTTGTATAGCGCCTTTCTAGTCTTCTGACCACTCAAAGCGCTTTTACACTACATAGGGCTGGGCGATAAATCGATTTTATTGATTAATTCGAATTTGTAGTTAAACACAATTTATTTTTAGTTAAAATCGGTTTTCTGTTGAACTTCCACAACACCGGCGCTCCCTTTGGGCTCCGGTAGGTCAGAGTGCACTCACCCCTCCCCCCGCCTCTCCACAGATACACACAACATGGTGAGAGGCATGCAGCCGAGTGAGAGAAATGTTGCTCTCTGCAAAATATACAGGACCGCAGCCCTCATTTGTAGTGTGTTTTTAAGAAGGAATCAATTAAAATCGTAAATCAGGTTTGGTGTGAAGAAATCTGAGATTTTATTTTAAAGCCATATCGCCCAGCCCTAACACTACATGCCACATTCACCCTTTCACACACATTCACTCAGCGATTGCAAAGTCCATCGAACAGAAAGTAACTTCATACACATTCACACACAATAGCTGCTCAGCAGCAAACGGCAGACATACACAGTTAGAGAGACTAGCTGGAACAACAAAGGAGCCAGTTTGTGTCAGAAGCTCAAAACCAGACCAAAAAGAAAAAAATATTGGACTAACGTTCATCAAGTAAACACACAAACAGTCCAAATCAATAATAATGTCGCTTTGTAACTGCTGGATGTGTAAATTGGCAACTGTTTGCTAAGTTCACCATATCAACTTAAAAGGTGGTAATGTGTGAATGCTGTGTTTGTAAGTATGTTAATCTATTCTCTCTGCCTTACTAAATTAAATTAGATTTGAATTCCTGTTGTTGAAACCCAGTCTAATATTGGATGTCCAAAATGGTATTAAAATGAAATCCATGTAGTTGAGACCTGAAACCTAGAGATACATAATCTGTGCTTCATAGTTTCATCATGTCTAATTTCTTAAACTTTTGTTTTAATGTGTCACTGACAGAAGCCCCTGATATGAGCCCCAGACCTCTGTTCACCACATCCAAACCAACTATCTGTGGCCCTCTTGGTCTGGAACCGTGCTGGGAGAGTCCATCTGGAGAGGTCTTCTACAGAGAAGCGCTGCAGGTGAGATTCAGCAAGTAATGACTCACAGTGAAGTACTTTCCACAATTTGCCTCTCATTCTCTCTCTCACACGCACACACACACACACACACACACACACACACACACACACACACACACACACACACACACACTAGACCTGCTCTATTGGAAAAGTGCCATATAACAACAACCATACTAATAAAAACGACTGATGATGACAACAGCCACAACGATGGGGGACGATGGACTATAATAATAGAAACTAGAAAATTCCTAAAGAAATTTTGAGTGTGCCTGACTCTGGCCTGTGACTCTGGCCCATACATTACTGACACTGCAGAGTAGTTTACAGTATATGACCTCAACCATTTCTTAGGTATGTGACAGATCAAGCTTTCAACATGTGTGTGTGTGTTCATATGAGAGAACAAATAGGCTGTCCTCGAATCGAAGTTATTAAATGTCAAATTAGGCCATGAAACCCGAGAGCAACTTGTTGTTACAGTGATGACGTATGAAGGGCAGAGAGGCAGGTCAGAGAGCAGAACATTTTCTGTTTATCGTGTCCTTTCTCCTCTGTCCTTCCCAATGACACACATAAGTTAATCAGCATTCTTACCTGTGTTTAATTCGGCGTACGCGTAATCCTCCAACCACCACGTATTTTAATGTTCAATCTTCTTTTTTCCATCTATTCCCACGGTCTTCTCCAACTGAAATAGTGAGGCTGGTAACGAGTTGATGCGACAATGTCTGCCAAAGAGTTTGTATTTATGTATTATATTGATGCCGGATTGACAAGAAGACTGTTGAGATATGATGAGTTTTTTTTCCTTGTGTTTCTACCGTTATGTGCTTTTATGTAAATGAAAATAATTGTTAATATATGGTATTTCTTAAATGGAGCTTGGCATAATATTGTCCTGGGATTATGCAGGAAGCATCATGGTTTAATTCAAATTGCTTAAGTAACTAAATAAGTAATAACCACAATGATGGGAATAATAAATAAGTATGGTGAATAGTAGGAGTGTGCTTTCCAGGCACACTAACTATAATAATACAGTCCTTCCAGAAAAACGCAGAGTTTTTTTGTGATTGTTGCGGGCAAAAATCGGATCATGTACGCAGAAGTAATAAAAACTTCCTTTTTTATGGCGAATCATTGAAATTGGATGCCGCGGGCACGCCAGGCGACGGAATGTCGTAGATAGCACAACTTTCAATCATGTCTTTAGATTGCGCTGATTAAATTTGAAGTTGATCCGATAAATTCCCTAGGAAGAGTGCGTTCAAATACAACGTGTGCAAATCGCCGAAAATGACCAAGGAATTCAAAATGGCCGACTTCCTGTTGGGTTTTGGTTATGGCAGTCCCTCCAGAAAAACACGATTATGCGATCACATAATTCATTGCATAATTAGCCTAAGTCCGCATATTTATGCAGGGGCCACATTTTTTTCAAATGCGCCGCCCCTTCGCCGCATAAATTGCAGATTTCCGCGCAAAATATGTGGGGCTTGCATGATTTCATAATCCCCGCATCTTTGTTGCAAAAAAGTCACATCTTAGCAGAAAGTTGAAAAATGTTGCATTTACTTCACACAAGAGAAGCCATTTTCCCCTGTTGCCATGGGAACGTTATGAAGTGACGTAATTACGCGACGTGAACATCATCAAAAAGCTGCAAACCCTGCGATGAAGCAATGATGAAGCCCGCAATCAGTCTCATTTGCCAACAAAAATAAGCGCAAAAAGGCCGCACAAAGCTACAGAGCATGTTTGACTCATCAATGTTTTGTAAGTTTGAGCCATGTGTTTATTAAGGTCTGAAATAAAACAAGATGAGAACTTAAATATTCCCAGCACTTTCTGTGATGTAGTATGCTTGCTTATCATAGGAAGTAATAAGAAATGACTCTTTACATTAAGGTAAGCCTAGTGAGAACAGGGTGTTGGGGGAATCACTTTTTTTTCTCTTTTTCATCAAACCGCAGTTTTTGCAAGTTCCCGCAATTTTTGCAAGTTCCCGCAATTTTTGCAAGTTCCCACAATTTCATCGCATAAAATTGCATAAATATCCTGCATATTCCATCGCATTTTTTAAGAAAACGTTCTGCATAATCAAGGATTTTTCCCCGCAACAATCACTTTTTTCTTTTCTTTTTTTTCTGGAAGGACTGTTATGGGTCCATGAGGCTTTGTTGCTTTTCCTATCATGATACACATGCGTACCGATTTTCGTACGTGTCTTGGGGGCTAATTCTGGGGGGCGTGGCTAAGCCATTTTAGGGGACCAAGACAATACCTTAGCCTTCGCCACGACTGAATTTTGTGCATGTTTAGCCCCCCCAAATGTTAACAGAAAAGCTGATTTTCGCCGCGTCGCCATGGCAACGTGGTTCCACGCAAATTCTCAAGATTTATAAGATGTCATCATCATCGTCCTAAAGAACTTCTGACAGAACTTGAGCTGGATCTGGTCAGTAAGCTGGAACATATACATAAAAGTATAAGAATGACATTTCCTTTCACAACTAGGTTGCGCTCTCACTATTATTGAATGTTATCACATAGAAGTGTTCAGGATGGGATCAGACAAGTGAAGTTTGTAGCTGATTGGACAATGTACACTCAAGTTATAGCAACTTTGTGTGTTCTGGTAGTGCATAAAAATTTGACGCCACGCCACGGACAGGCCCTTTGACCAAACCTCACCACATAGTGTTTCCTCTAGGATTTCTTTTAGCAGTGGGGGCAGGGCCGTCCGAATCCTCTTTATCAAAGAGGAATGTCTTAAGCCTACTCTTAAATGTGGAGATAGTGTCTGCCTCCCGAACTACAACTGGAAGCTGGTTCCACAGGAGAGGAGCTTGGTAACTGAAGGCTCTGGCTCCTGTTCTACTTTTAGACACTATAGGAACCACAAGTAGCCCAGCATTCAGAGAACGTAGTGTTCTAGAGGGGTAATAGGGTACTATGAGCTCTTTAAGATATGAAGGGGCCTGACCATGAAGAGCTTTGTAGGTGAGTAGGAGGATTTTAAATTCTATTCTGAATTTTACAGGGAGCCAGTGCAGAGAACCTAATACAGGAGAGATATGATCTCTTTTCCTAGTCCCTGTCAGTACTCGTGCTGCAGCGTCCTGAATTAATTGGAGCGTCTTAATGGACTTATTGGGGCAACCTGATAATAAGGAATTGCAGTAATCCATCCTAAAAGTAACAAATGCATGGATTAGTTTTTCTGCATCCGTCTGTGATAGGATGTGTCTAATTTTGGCAATATTGTGTAAGTGAAAAAATGCAGTCTTAGGTTTGCTTTATGTGAGAGGTAAAAAACATATCCTGATCAAAGATAACGCCAAGATTCCTGAAGGTCTTTAGACGGTGAGTTTCAGAGGTGTTTGGAGCCAAGTACAAGAACTTCAGTTTTGTCTGAGTTTAACATCAGAAAATTGCAGCTCATCCAGGTTTTTATGTTCTGAAGACATGCTTGTAATTAAGGTAATTTATTAATTTTATCAGGCTTGATCGATAGATATAACTGGGTATTGTCTGCATATCGGTGAAAGTTAATGGAGTAATTTCTAATAATGTTGCCTAAGGGAAGCATATATAAGGTGAATAAAATTGGTCCAAGCACAGAACCTTGTCGAACTCCATGACTAACTTGTGACGTATTTATTGAGGATTCATCGTTAACATGTACAAACTGAGAACACTCAGCATTCCTTATCTACCCTTGATTATGTCTGTGCTTTTACTCAATCATTCCTGTGTTTACTTTGGTCAACATTTGGTTTTTTTTGCCCTAAAAAATAAACCTGATATGCCTCTTCTGTATGCCAGAGTCCCATACGGAGATCTTACAGTGACCAAAGCTTTGGCAGGACACCGCCAGGCACACCGACACAGCTGAAACAGGCACTGGCACTGCCCAGACACCCATCCAGCTTGTGAGTACCCATGCATTTTGTGTCAATAGTAGATTATGGTGGCAGGGATTTTAATGTAGATAACAGTAACATTGTCAATGTTGCTGAAATAAACTGCACTCAGATGTTGGAGTGAGCTGAGACACACAAAACCAGAGGGTTTATAAGCTTTGTTATGGGTCCACTGGCTTTTTGTCATTACCATTATTATGTCAGTGAATCTCAGCTTTATTACAGTTTAAATGGGACAAATTCATTCCCAGAGACTGGGTTGTGACCCACGTGTTTTTCTTATTTTTATAACGTATCAAAAATGTGTACATTGTTTTGCTGATAATGGAAAAACAAGATCCTTAACTCCTGCTAAATGCATTTAAATTGTCTCGATTATAAAGTGAGCGTACACTCTGTAAGATGGAGATGGGGTCTCCAGATTACTGCTGCTGTGAGGAAAAACAAAAGCCTGTTAACCTAAGTGCTTTTATTTTGTCTCATTTATAAAGTAAAATTTAAAATGTGTATTGTTTTACTGATGACGAAGCGATTTATCAAATGTATAACTCTTCAGGACAGCTGGTTTACCTGCTCAAGAAAATATGACGTGATGCAGAAATAATAGCAGTAAAAATGTTCAGGAACTGGCATTTGTGCACTAATTTGCTCTTCTCACTGTGAATTGGGTTGCCATGGTTTGTGATTTTTAACAAGTGGGTCCCCAGGAAAAGAAAAAAGATTGCAAACACTGGTCTACATTACTCAAAAGGGGCGTGCCTCTTATCATTGTTTGCAGACCAGTTTGAATCTGATATCAAATGTATGTTTTCGGGGCCCCTGGTTAGCTCAGTTGGTAGAGCTGGCGTCCCTGTACTGAGGCCGAGCCCTTGCTGCAGTGGCCGAGGGTTCGAGTCTGACCTGCGGCCCCTCGCTGCCTGTCATTCCCTCTCTCTGCCCCCCCTTCCTGTCTACCTTCAGCTGTCTCTATCAATTAAAGGCTACTAAAAAAACAAATGTATGTTTTCAGAATTACTCTCTTTTTAGCTAAGCCTGAATCCTGGCTTAATAGCCTTAAAGGACCAGTGTGTAGAGTTTAGTGGCATCTAGCAGTTAAGTTGGAGATTGTAAAAAAACTGAAACCCTATGATTAAACCAAGCGTGTAGGAGAAACTACTGTGGCTCGCGAAAACGTGAATGGCCCTATCTAGAGCCAGTGTTTAGTTTGTCCATCCTGGGCTACTGTAGAAACATGCAAAGCTCCAGAAATGCCATGTCCTATGCTTCGCACAGTGCAACTCAGTAGCATCTTTTGATAGACCCTCACTGCCTTGTAAACCTCTATGTCTTTGCAACTCCATCTCCCCAGTGTATAATGCAGGCTTGTCAACAGTCAACTGAAATTCAAACTTGACAAAGCTCCTGAAACTGTTTGGGTTGAGTGGTACCAGTCATGACAGGTAAACTGATATTCGAGTAAAAAGTCAGTTCTCCTTGAACAATAAAATAGCAATTTGGGGGCTGACATTTGGCCAGTCTAAACAAGGTTCCTATGCAGCATGGAAAATATGGAAATTTATTAAGTATGAAAAAAAGAAAAGAGAGAATGGAAAAATATTAGTTTTTCCAGACTATTGCCCCTATTCTGTTTTCCAAAATATAATATTCAGAATTTCTTAAAATGAACTGACTATACAAGCAGAGTGTTTTTCATGGCATTTGGAGCAGGCAGCAGGACATGTGTAAGTTAGCCTTTATGGCCGCATTCATCAACGTTTCCATGGACACAGTGATTAAAGAAGGCTGCACAGATGCCGTAATAGCAAACATAGTATAATAATAATAATAATAATAATAATAATAATAATAGCAACAGAATGCAACACAGTTGGAATTTAAAACCATTTATTTACATAATATAATGTCAACATCTGTTGAGAACTCTGTCTGGAAGAGTATGGAATTTTGAAATGGAAATTGTGAAGCGACACTGTTGTTTAGTGTGTTAGAAAGCAAGTATAACTTTCAGCATTCAGTTGCTAGTCAGATAAGTGATGTATAATCAAAAGTGGGGCTGGGTATCTGCCTCAGTACTTTTTTGAGGCACAGACACGGTTATAAAAAATTTTCAAATGATACCCTTCTGTTGTAGAGGTCTATTATGGAAACTAAAAGCTATCAAGTAAAGAGACTCAAAACTGTTTAAATGTGTTCAGTTCAGTTCTTGGGTTGTGTTTTGGTTGATCTGCAATTTGTCTTAAGTTCCAAAACTTACTTTGAAATCTTAAAGGTCCAGTGTGTAGGATTTTGTGGCATCTAGTAGTCTCCCACGCTTCACCCTCCCCTTCCAAGCCGGAAGGAGAAACTATCGTGGCCACAAAATGCACAAAAAACATGTACGCCCCTATCTACAGACAGCAGTTGGTTTGTCCTTTCTGGGCTATTGTAGATATATGGTGGTTCAACATGACGGACTCCACGGAAGGCGACCCACAGTGTCTGTACATATAAAAAGGCTCATGTAAGGTAATTGAAACATATGTTCAGGTGATTATACACGGCTGGAAACATACCTTTTAAATATACCCGTTAAGCAGCTACAGCAGCTGATGGGCAACAGTTGTTGTCCTGTCTATATATTGGCCTATACCTCCTAAATAGTAATTTTTGCCCCTTCTCTCCCTGTCCCTTTCTCCACCTTTACTTCTCTCTTATTCTTTTCCTTACTGCCCCTCCACCAATTTCTTCCCTGTCCATCCTTTCCTTTATTGATTTCTCTTTCTTTGCCTTGTCTCTTGTCTTATTTTCCTTTAACTGCTTCCCTTTTTTTCACTGTGTAATCCTTGCTCACCTTCTCTCTGTGCTCCCTTCACTTCTCCTAACTGGCTGCAGTCGAGGTTCAGGCCGTCTTCTCCACCAGCAGTCCACTGCTTATCTTTCCTCTCAGACCAGTGATCCCCAGGCCCAGCCTCTCCTTTCCTCTCCCCTCAGCCTCCTGTCTCCACAGTCCATTCTGCAGGTGGCCAGGCAGCTGGGCCTGCAGGCCTCACAGCGCCTCCTGCAGACGGTCAGCCAGAAATACAGGTCTGAGTCATGTTTCAAAGCATTCAGTGAGCCCCTCGTCGGTCCCAAAATAAATCGATTCACCTTTAATGAGAAAGACATGAAAATATATTTTGTTGCCAAATTATTGTACTTTTTTCCTATGGAAACATGTTGGATTCCCTTAAAATACAATATTTGCATTATTCTGACTTAACTACTTATTATCTCATAATTCTGAGATACGTTTACATGAAAAAAAGAAAAGACTTGAATTCACGAGATATCTACAGCAGGCTGTCGATACCCAGGGCCGGCTCTCAGCCTCCTGAGCCTAACCCAAATCCTTTAACCAGTTTACAGCATGTTCTAGCAGGTCCTGGGCAGTTTTTTTCCCCATGAAAATCTATCGCAGAGTTCTTAGAATTTGTTAATTCAGAAAATTACCATACAGCAATACAAATGTAATACATCTCCATCCATAAATGAAAAAGCTTTCATTATATTGCATGATTTACATACAGAAAGAGCTTTTATTTTGCTTTATTATTGTTATTTGGACTAATTGCCCAAGCTGCTAAAAGAAGTTTCTTTTACTTGTGTTGTCTTCAGTGGCTCCTTATTCGTGCATGGAAACAGGAACAAGTCCTTCATTTCCATGGAGTTATCGCTGCATTCATTTTGAATTTGGATGGTCTTTCACCACCCAGTAACTCTTAGCCAATTCAATTCAGTTTCATTTAGTTTCTTTGAAATTTGGCAGGGATCCACAGACACAGCTTTTACCTAATATGTATTTAGAGTAATATTTCTTGTATTGGGAGATATTTGAAGATAATGCCCGACGAGGTGTCCGTTATCAGTAATTAATAACCTCGAATTATGGACACCTCGATGGGCATTATCACGCTTATACCATGGTCACTTATCAGAAGAATCCAACTCAATTAAATTGTATTTGTATAGCACCAAATCATAACAGAAGTTGTCTCAGAACACACATCGCACGTACATAAAAGTATTTACAGAGATCCAACAATTCCCACCATGAGCAAGCACTTGGCAGCAAGGAAAAACTTCTAACAGGCAGAACAGTCTCCATGCTGTGGTGTTCAGAGGATGAGGCACAGATGGACCACACCTAGTGTTGTGAGATATATTTATGAGATACTCAGATTTTGTTTTCATTCAGTTTATTTCAGCGCATTCATTTAGAGCTGTGAACAGACAGTTTTACTGGAACTACTTAGTAAGTGTCCTACATCAGCAATTCACCCAGACCATGGTATAAAGCTGGCTAAATTACTTATACAAATATCTGTAGATAATCTATTCCAACCGGCTAGCGCATTTGGAAAAAGACAGTATGCAGCTGCTTTGCTTTAACTTGTAATGTGTTTAATTTGGCTCAGTGGTGTCAACAGAGGGCTGCATCCTATTTTAATAAATATGCTGATATATATTTTTAAAAAATTTAAAAAATCCAGGATTCCTGCATCTGCCACTAGCTTTTACATCTTGCACTGATCATGTGCCTCATTATCTGCTTTCCTCGCAGCTAAAATCGCCCCTTGCTAGCCACTAAAACCTGTGCACTGTCCCAGCTGTAATATTGTTGAAGGCCCACCAGCAGACTGCAGTTTCTGTTTCTGTCTTATTGGACTTAAGATTTAGCAACCAAGAGAAGCCGCCAGCAGCCAGAGTCATGACCGAGGTCCCTGCTGCAGCACACGTGGAGCATAGCAAGAAAAGGTGACTGAAAGAAAAACTGTGTGTTTGTGTCAAAACTACTACCACTCAGCCAAGGTTTGGAGTCATGTTTCTGCACTGCAGCTTTAACAGCTGCTGGGGTGCAGTCTGTGTAATCTTAGTCTCATAATTTCATGTGAGAAGAAAGTTTGTAACATCTGGACTAAATTCAAGTGAAGCAACACCCTGCTTGCTTGTAAAGATGAGTAATCAATTAATAGTTAATGGTTCATAATGAATGTGCTGTGTTCAGGCTGACATTAGCACTGAAAAAACTGGTTGGATTGTCAATCAAATAAACTGACCATGGCATAACTTTTGCAGGAATACAATGTGACATAATCAGGGAACGCACTGTGTTGTCCGATCAAATATGTGTAAATGCTCATTCATGGTAGGTTCCAGGAGTGAGAGTCTTATTACATATAGACAAAAGTGCTGTGCAGTGTTTGTACGTCTGGTAAACATTAAACTCGTGGATGTTTTACTCAAACCTTTACGTACACATGCAAAAATAGGATTAAAAGCAATATTTGAGGTAGACAGAATACAACCAAAAACAGAGTTAATTTCTTATGGACAAAAGTAGCAAACGAGAAAGATAAAGAATGTAAACATCACAGACAACCAGGTAGAGATACTGTAGCATTCAAAATAAGATCCTTTAGTGACCCAGGAACAGGTGTGTGGGAAAGTTTCCCAGCATGCAGTTGGGCAATAGACATCCTTTTACATGCCATCATAGTGAATTGGGTTAGAGCATGAGTGATGTCATATGTGGGAATCCTCTTGATATTCCTTCCATGCAGGCTGTCAAGAAAGTTTATTCCATTTTATTTGTATAGTGCCAATTCATAACAGAAGTTATCTCAGGACACTTTTCCAATAGAGCAGGTCTAGACCGAACTCCTTATAACATTATTTACAGAGACCCAACACCTAAAAAAGCAGCTACTGAAAACATACCTATGAATATTATATTCTATATCTGCCAATAGATCCTCCTAAATGGACCTTTAAGATGAGTGGTTCATTTTGAATACAGATTGACTATATGAAGCCACAGGTCCTCAGTGATGCAGTACTAGAGAAAGCAAATGAAAGGGAGGCGTTTATCGTTCCACCCCGAAAGGAATTATCTTGTTTTACGAATAAAAAGAGAAATGCGTGTTTTCAGGAATATGACAGTTTACAATTTATCAATTATTACATGGTTGTCAGTAGAATTAGAATTTGTGGATCTGTATCAATGCGATTATACTAGATGAACCGGTATACTGGTTTTAATTTTCTGTGTCATATTATTATTTGCATTCGTCTATATACTAGTGCTGTCAGTTAAACGCGTTAACGTTCTTTTTGGCCTAGCACACTTTGTAGTTTTTTTCACATGCTGTTGCAACAACTAGTAACGTTAGAAAAAAACAACAACAGCACACCGGATCTAGCTAGACCGGAAACAAAACAACAGGCACGCCGCACACACTTGTTTAAGAGTAGTAGACGTTACGTTTTGAGTGGATGGCGAGCGCGAGATGCCAAAATGGATGCCAATAATATTCTGAATGGAAAGTTTACTTTTAAAAAGTTGCCAAATGGTTCCATTGACAAGACCAAAGTGATCTGTGTGTTTTGTCGTTGTGAACTGAGCTATCATCGCAGCACGTCCAGTCTGAAATACCACTTGATGGCCAAGCACACAGCTGATGCGAATTCTCCACCCCGTCGTCAAAGCCAGGCGACAATGGATGATTTTTCAATAAAAACAACATTTGCACATAAGAGCATTAAAATGAGAAAAAAAAGGGACAAAAAGAAATCAAGGGACATTTAGAATAGATAAAAATGTGCGAATAATTGCGATTAATTGCGAGTTAACTATGACATTAATGCGATTAATCTCGATTAAATATTTTAATCGTTTGACAGCACTAATATATACATAGCCTCAATTTGTACATGACAGTGTGATTGACTTCCAAATGTCTGTGATGTCACAAATCATGCTGGTAGGCCCCACCCCTTAAAATCAGATTTTCAATGAGCACAGAGAAACTTTCCTCTTTCAGCAGATGAATGTGAAAACATCATTCTAGTGTCAAACTCTGCACAGACAGCATTCAAACATCACACTGTAGGGACAAGAAGAAAGGAGGGGGGACTTTAAGTTTGGTTTGTGTACTTCGGTCTCATACGTGTTGTCTCACTCTTCTGTCTGTCTGTCTCTCTTCCTGTCTGTTCAGGGCAATGGAGAGCTGGAGTCCAGAAGAAGAGGGCGGAGCTGCTGTCGAGTTTATCATCCTCAGAAGACAGGTAGGCAGTAAAAGAGGCAGTGTGCCTCTTCATCTGTCTCCATCTCCATCACTCTTTTTAAAATTTTTATACTTTGTATGTTGTCACTTGTGTGTCTGTGTCCGCCTAACTGTGTAGGTGATGAAGATGAGTCGCCGGCTGGCAGCACTTGAGAGGCATGGCGCTGAGCGGAGGAATACCGAAGTTGTTCTGTTCTCACTACTTTTCTCCGCCTGCCTGCTCAACGTCTGGCTGTGGATCCGCAGATAACACACACTCACTGTATATGCACCAGTCAGTAATCACGCAGCGAGAAGTTAATGAAGTGGCACAGAGAGCTGATTATACACCCACAGAAACAGTCTTTGTAACCCACTTTGGCTTTATTGATTCCACACAATTTTTTTTACTCGGAGAAACTCAGAGTAAAAAAAAAAACTCTGTTTCTATCAATCACCATGACATTTTTCAGAGTTGTTCAGAGGAATTCTGGAAAATGTGTGTGAATGCTAATTAATCACAGACCTACATAATTGAGGGTTTATCATACTGTCCACCCTTCTGCTCTCTTCCTGAATTAAGGCCTAATGTCAAACTAAGTTTTAACGTCATCTTGGCCCAATTTGTAACCTCAAGATAACCCCTGGAAAGATATGAAATTTGGCCTAAATTACTTAGTAAAAATATCCTCACTGACAAACGTAAGCATTCATGCAGACACATAAATACACAAACAGTACTTGGTAAATACTATAGCTTTCAAGAAGCTATGGTCTTAGATCTCAGGTCTCAGTAAAGAGAATGTAAGACTTAAATGTACAAAATGTAATTTCACCACTAGGGGGTCTCTCACATGAAATTAAAAAAAGACTACGTTTGATGGCATGGTGAAGTAGCGTTGGATCATTGGATTGTGGGAGTTGTCTTTACCATCATTGCAGTGAGCTTCTCCCAGTTAGTATTCAGTGTTCATGGTTCTGTAGGTTTCTGCCGGGAACTCAATTATCCACAGAGGTGTCTTCCTCTCTAAAACAAACAGACCCTCTTATTTAAACTGGTAAACACACTGAATAAAGCAGTTCCACCTTAACAATCACTGTTTCTCCCACGCTGTTGGGCAGACAGAGGATGTCCCGGAGGTGCTGCGAGCCAAGCTGCTGCTAACGTTAGCTCAGCTTGTTTCTCTGATAACTTAAGATCCAGATGTCCGATGACTAAAATCCTTCATCTGGTTCAAATCTAGAGTTAAAAGGCACCAAGATCTAAACAGTGGATGGTAAAAATTTTGTAAAATGTAAAAATTAGATGATTACTTCTGGCATTTATCAATCCCAGGGCTGATGCATGTTGTGTACAAAGACAACTATTCACACCTCCACCAGCAGGTTGGAACCAGAACTATTAGGGCAGTGCTGACCACTGCACTGCCCTAATATTGGGATCTTTATGTACAATTACACTGTTTTGTGACGGTAATGCTTCAACTACAGACTAACACTAATCCCACACATAAGTATCACTCCATTAAGATGCTGACAGTAATGTATTTAGACACCGTTTAATGGCTTTCAAAAGTAATATATTGAAATTGTGTAGGTGTAAAGCTGTTTATTTAGTTATGCAGTGTAAACAGTGTAGGATGAAGGAGTGTATGAAGTTTGGACTATTACTGGAGAATTTTAGCCATTTTAATTGTCCTAAGTTAAAGGTCCAGTGTGTAAAATTTAGGAGGATCTATTATCAGAAATGGAATATAATATTTATAGGTATGTTTTCACAAGTGTATAATTACCAGAATATAGGAATCGTGTTTTTGTTATCGTAGAATGAGACATTTTTATTTACAGATGGAACTGGTTAGCCTCTACTACGGAGTCTACAGAACCCCATAATAGTTTCGCAGCCACCATAGTTTTCTGTATAATATATAATCTGCTAAATCCTACACAGTGGACCTTTAAAAATAAATTAATAACAGTGAATAATAACTGGAGATAATATTTGAAGACTGGTGTTTTTTTGACCGCAGTGGGCAATTGATTGTATGAGTCAAAACCTTCAAAAGAGCTTTATCTTAAACAGTCTTCAGAGTTTAAATGTTACTCATCATGTCTATTTATTCTTAAAGCTGTGCCATGTATGTTTATTCAATAAAAGTAGATTTTATATTTAAATTCAGTGCTATGTGGTGTGGTTTTTGATAGTTACATGCTGCAGACATAAAATCTAATTTGAGTGCAGACAGGATCTAATGTTTCTAAACAGGTAGTTGCCTGTGCTTCTAGAGTGCCCTTGAGCATGACATTCAGACTGTGCTCCTGTCACAGGGACACGTTTCTTTTGTCACAAATGTCTTCTCTTTGTTTCCAGTTTATCCCTACAGTGTGCGTAATATTGTGACTAATGTGGGTCCGTGTAACTAAACACCAAGACAACTTAAAAGTCTCAGCATTCATTTATTTAACAAAAGAATTAAATTAGTACTAACTTAACCCATTTATGAAACAAACATTTGGAGACGTTTTTGGGAGTTTGTCAGAAAAAGTATACAGAAAGAAAACTAAATGACTTCATACCATAATATAAGAAATTGTATGAGATGAATGTTGTAAAAGAACAGATGATTAATTAGAAAATTGCTTTTAAATGAACTGTGATTGTACAGCAAAGACAAAATGACATACAATGCAATACAAATACAATAGACTTGTGTACAGCTGGTAAACATTGCAAACTGATCACACTTTACTGCAGCAGGAGCTGAAGTCAGTCCTCTCCATGAAACTTCACAACACTTGGAATCAAGCTTTTCTTTACCAGGCATTCGTCACGTTACAGGAAAAAGGTTTGTACATTCATCACAAGTACAGTGACCACTGAGCTCCACATGCTAACAGACAGCAAAGCTGCAGTAGGTTATTTATGAAAATAACTTTTTGTCATATATGCTCAAACTTTCACAATATACTGACAAGTAAAACATGAGACAGATTATCTGTGAAAAGCTCCCAAAGCTTCAAGCCATCAACAAATTGTTTACATATTTGACCACCGGGGAAAGATCGACTATCTTTCTTGACTCTGGTTGGTTGTTTTTGTTTAGGCTTGGTGAATTCTTGCAGATACCATTAAGAGCACTAGGAGGAGCCAAAGGAAAGTCTGTTCTTTTTTCACGGTTTATCTGTCTCATGTACTACTGTCAGGATAAAGATTCAGCGAATATAACAAAAAGATATTTTTATAAACATTACCCACAGTACCCTTAAATGAGTTAAGTACCAGTTGTGACAAGTGCCTGGTAAAGACAAACAAGACTCAACCTCAAATTGTCATCTATATCGTAGCAGGTGTAGAGACACTTGTAACATAATAGGACTATTTTCAACTGCATAGTGGAGAAAATTGCTTCAAAGATCAATTCCCTCCTTACACAAAGTGTTAGTACACACTGTTACTCCAGTTAGTGTGTGCATGGTAGACTGTGAGCTGTGGGATGCTTTGGTGCAGGCTGGGAGCAGGACCGAGGCCTGTGGTGAGCTCTCAGGTGGGATGAGGAGGCACATATCTGTCAGTTGCAGTTTCTGTCCAAACTTTTCAGTCAGCACTGTACAATGAATGAGCACTCCGGATTAAAAAAATACAGACACCGTGTGTATGTGTAATTCGTTTAAGAGTCGGCACGAAAACGTCTCCCTACTTACAAGTGCCTTGTGGAAGCACAGTAAATAAGCTGAAACTATTCATGGATTGACAAGAAAGGTCCGGGCAATCATTTTAAAAATTGCTTTGTTGTCTTTTTATAAGCATCGGTGCCAAATATCCACTGGTTCCAACTTCTTAAATGTGTGTAAATATGCTGTTTTTCTTCACAAAAATCTCCTTGCTCACTGTAGCCCCTTTGCCACCGAATTAGTTCTGGTTCTTAAACCAGTTCTGTTCAAGATTCTTAGAACCTTGGTGCCATCCTGCATTTCCATCACTTTTGAGTGGAACAGTACACAATGACCTGCAGAATATGACACCCCTAACTTGGTTCCCAAGGAAAACCTGTTATTTTTTGGTTCCAGCTGGGAACCAACTTTTCAGGTTCTAAACCAATTTATTTTAGATTGAAATGCTCTGAATGGTACTTGAATGGGAATGGAGCTGGTTCCCAGTTGGTGGAAAATAGGTTTTTCGGACCCTACACTACAGTTGCATGTTACATGACACTGTGTTTAGATGAAAATGACTCAACTGATCCCAGCTGTACATCCATTCAGTATTTGGGATTACATCTTTTGCAACCAGGAGCAAAATAAATGTTCTAGTCTGATTAATAAGATATCAGTCACATGATAACATTCTGTGAAACGTGTGTTTCAAGGCTGGGAATCCCAGCAGCAGAAATGTAAAAGACTTTGCAGCTACAATTTAGGGCTTGTTTTTAGTGGAAATTATCGTTCCCATGGTACTGGGTCATTAAACACATTCAAAACCTTACCAGAAAAACAAAGCAGCTTTTGAAAGGATGACTTTGTGAAGGTCTACCATTAGAAATCTGCAGTGATCCCACCTGAGGCCTCAGGGTCCATTGTCTTCAAGATTTCAGCTGAGCTCACCAAGAGACATCACAGTACGAGCATAAAGGACACTTCATATCGGCTGGTGATGGCAAACATTACTGAACATATTTATTATTAACACTGGCATTGTGCTTTTTGTTTAGTTCTGTAAGGCTTTCACACAATCATGAACAACACATCAGAACCAGCAACAGACTTTTACACTTTTACCAGGAACTTTCTTTTTAGGGATCCACCAATACTAATATGGGATCAGACACCAGAGCGACGCTGGACTGAAATGTGTGCTGGGAAGCAAAGCAACTTCACTTTCAAATGATTTCTCTCACACTCTCACTCTCACTCTCACACACACACACACACACACACACACACACACACACACACACACACACACACACACACACACACACACACACACACACACACACACACACACACACACACACACACACACACACACACACACCTGTAGGTTCTGTTCACCATTTTTCTGAATGAGGTTAAGAAGTGGTCTAGGTCCTTATTCCTCACTAAAATGGTAGTTACAACATATCAGTGCATTCCTAATTAACTTCTGAGGAAACACAATCCTTTAGTGACATAATCCTATTGACTCTTCGCAATTACAACATCAGTTAGCAGGTCATTCTTAGCTTCTTTGGTCCAACATTTTTGGTTTTCAGTGGACATTTTGAATCTAACTACATTAACCTCACTGGAAATGTAATAATTAACCACAAAAGTCAGAAAACATTTGATTTTCAAAAGGCTCAGCTATTCCTGACTTTGTCACTCGAGTTTTCTGTATTGCTGCTACAGCGTCGAACAGGTTGAACCAGCAACACCTGTCACCACCATAAAAACACTCATAGGTCGACTATGTACACTCCATTGAACTATACAAATACATTTGTGGAAAAGCCTGACATGCCAATACCTTGAACTAATTGTAGACTTTAGACTCTAGTAGTCTCTGTTAACAGTCTCAAAATATTTTAACAAAGTTCTTGAAACCAGAGGAATGACATCACCCCAAACTGATTTTAAGACTGAACATGTGATGCCTTTTTAAGATGGAGCTTGAGTTTACAGGGATCACCAATCCATTGTTACCTTTGGTCAAGAGATGTTGAGCTCTGTATTCCAGTGGACATTCACAGTGAATACCCAACACTCCACTATGCATAGTGTAAATGAATGCAAAATTGCCCTAGCATGATAACGATACTTAATAGGATGGTGGAAGAGCAGACCTATTCGGTTGTTGCAAGAAGTTCATGTTCACATCCAAACCAAGAACCCTTTGACTTGAAGTTTGAAATAACACCAACTTCAGTCGTGGTGTCAGTAAATACTTTTCATGGTTTGTTTTACTAACAAGTCAGATGGATGTAAGTATGGTAATACAAGTGCCTTCAAATATTCACAATAAAGTGTATCTATGTCAATTTTGTGATTAAATATTAAAAAATAAATCCCCTCCATCTTGGTCTTCAAGCATGGGAAGTGAAATGCTAAATTAATACCTTTTAAGAGCGTCTGCTATTTGAGAGAGACCCCCACCAACGGGGTCATGCTTACTAAACTGTCCGACACTCTTTCCCCTCTCGCCAAGTTCCAAGGTTAAAGTCATACAGAGGGGAGGAGAATGCCCTTCACGGTACGGACATGGTCAGGCTGTAGCCTGTTGGATTTAGAGCAACAGTTCATAAAGTACTTGTAAGGACCATGCATGCCTATAGAGCAGTACTTTGATTTCAGGCTGCCAAGTTGAAACCTTTTGTTGTATGTTTTCAAAATACAGCACAATCTCAATTTTGTGTAGTTCAAGTATATTAAGTGCCTTAGCAGCAACCATTGATGGCCCTTTTGTAATGCAAGGAATTATTTTTACTTTTATATGTTATTGGTGGTTATTGGTAGGCACGTGTCATGGCCAGACTTAAATAACCCCATCTTAAAGCCATACCCTCAACCCAACAGGAAGTTGGCCATTTTGCATTTAATTTGCAATATTAGCCCATTTTGCCATTTCAACGGGTTCTACTTAAAAACTCCTCTTACAGAACTTGACCTACTTGTAATTGCATGCAATCTTAAGATGTTTGCGATGTGAATTTATCAAAAGCTTGAATTTTCGATGAATGGCCTGTCCGTGGCATGAACACATGCCAATATTTATAGTCATAGTCATGGGTGTGGGTGTGGGTGCCACATAGTGGACACAGGAAGATACTTTTAACTCCTTCTTGCAGCGCTCGAAAAACATGAACATTCAGGAGCATGTTGACCAACCTTGGGCAAAAATTGAGACAAGGATGTCACGTCTCCGCTTCCTCCCACTGTACAAAAATGAAGCCAAAATATCTGGATACGGCTGCTGCTGTCTTTCGCCACTCAGAGCCAGAGCCTGCGCAGTAGTGATCAGTGCTGGCGCCACAGTAACAAACTCCCGCCCATACTGGATAACAAAAGAGGAAAGCTCATCAAATTGAGCAGTTTCATGCCTGAAGTCAACATGCCACAAAAGATTGCCAACACTATATGTACTTATACCCATGTGATGGTGTGCCAGTACCAAACATGGCTACTGAAATGCCAGTTACTTTTGCAAATCCCTCCATGGCACACAGTTACACAGGACATTACAGTACATACACAATGTAAATACCCAGTTAAGAAAGTTTTGTAGTTTACATCATTTCTGATTACCCAAGTGCCATGTCTAACTACGGTAAAAACTAAAATTACACATAAATACAATACCTAATGTCAGATGTCTTAAAGTAGTAAAAAAAATAAAATAATAATAAGTAGTGCAATAAATGCAATAAAAAGGTAGCCAATACATTTGGTCCAATGGAGCTAACCAGCCACAACACAGCACAGGAAAGTTAACAGAGAACAAGTAACAAGCTAGCAAGGGAACATTTTCCATCATTCATCATCAATCATGCTACATGCTAAGCTTTTGCTGACATTCCCAAATGTGCTGAAATGCCATCGGTGCTGCAGTTAGTAATGTGGTCACTATTAGTCTGTAGACACAGTAACAATGACACTAATCCCCCCCAGGTCAAAAACTAGTGCATTTAAACAAAGCCTTAGTCCCCTACCCCAGTGAGTCAAGGGGGCAACAAGAAAAGAAATCCTTCACCTTAAATCGAAAAGTTCAAAATACATTTGTGGAAGTGTAGTATGCTCTCTATGTTCAATTTTGGCTTTCAGCTTTGCTCACTCCTTTTCCTGTTAACCGTGTCAATTTTCATAGCCAACAGCTTGACTGAATTGGTTATTTAAATAGGGTTTGTCTAACCTCTCGTTAACTTCCAATAAACTTCAAACATCAGTCGCCCCAACTGTGAACAAGAATGCACCAAAGGCATTTTACAAAGTGGCATCAGAAAAATAAATATGAAGCTGTGAATTTTTACATTTTCAAGTTCCAGTCACCATTTCATATTAATATCATCATTTAGGAAAACTTCAAAAGAGACGAGACAAGAAGGGGCATCACAATTACCCTTCTTGCTTCTGAATTTGCAGTTTTCTTAAGATGATGATAAACAATAATCAGGTGAAGGAATGAAGGAAATGTGTAAACATAAGAAAATGTCTCTTGGTGTGGGTCAGTCAAACACAGACAGGCAGGTCTGGAGGATGAGCCGGGATGATGTACAGGCCTGTATTTGTCTGATCGAGCTGCCATCTAATTATACGTTTGGATGATTTCTTTTGGGGGTGCTGATGGGGTCAGATGAGGATCTCCACCATGTCGTTGTCCACTTCCTGTTGGGTGGGTGGGGCTGGAGGAGGGGCCTGTTGCTGCGGGTGGGACTGGACGGGTAGCCTCCGCTCCAAGGTGCTGCTGTGAAACACTGGCACATCTACACAGAGAAGACAACAAACAAGACTTCTGATGATCCAGTCTGTCTGTTTTGTAAACCACTAATATTAAAGGCTAACCTGTATCTGTTACAGCACAGTGAAAAAGAAAAGTGTTCCAATACCATCTTTTCGGTATTGGCCGAAGTTGAGTTGAATCAGTATTGGGAAGGTAAAAATGGTGTATATATCATGTGAGCTGACCTGCTAAGCGGTCAGGGATGTAGATGGGGCTGGGGTTGGATAGGCGGGCGGGCAGCGTCATGCTCTGCAGGGCTGGAGTGCTGGGCTTGCTGGTGTCTTGATTCTGGCCCTTGTCGGTCTGTGTGCAGCTGTCCCTGCTGCCAGTCTTTGAGTGTCCTGTGGTCATTGGGGTGGAGGGAAGCACTGGGGAGGGAGATGATGAGATTGACTCTGTCCTGAGAGACTCTGTACGAAACTCAGGACCCAGCAGAACTCCTGAAGGAACACAGAAAAAGAACAATCATTACTCTGAAACACTGACAGTAGCTACAAGTGACTTTCTAACCCCAGGGTTGGACATTAAAACTGCAGAAAATAAGTTTTTGTCATTATTGCGGAAATTTGTGGAAAAGGAATGAGACTAAACAATGAACAATCTTTCTTGTCTCTGATTGGTTGCTTTTATTCAGGCCTGGTGAATTCCTGTACATTCTGCTAGGAGCACAAGGAGGAACCAGAGGAACCGGATGTTTTCACAGATTATCTGTCTCATGTACTACTGTCAGGATATATTGAAAGTTTCAGCAAATATTAATTTTTTTTTTACATTACCTACTGCAGCTTTAATCATGGCTACTTGTTTTTACATAGGTTTACATTTGTGGACCCCAAAAAGTGCCACAAAATTTAGATGCTTGTTGGGGCAGCTGTGGCTCAGAGGCAGAGCAGGTCGTCCACTAATTGGAAAGTTGTTGCACCTCCCGCCACGTGTTGAAGTATCCTTGAGCAAAATACTGAAACCCAAATTGCTCTCGATGCTGTGCATGTGTGTGAATGTGTATGCCATCACTGAGTGAATGTGTGTGAAAGGGCGAATTTGGCATGTAGTGTAAAAGCGTTTTGAGTGGTTGGAAGACTGGAAAGGCGCTATACAAGTACAGGTCCATTTACCATTTAAAAATATTAATTCCTGCACCTACCTGTAGTATCAACTGCTGTTCACATGTGGAAAATACTCTATAAGGACTACTGGTTCTTACCCAGGCTGCCCTTCCAGCTGGTGTCTTTGCGTTCTTCAGTGATGGGCGAGCTACTGAGTCCCAGGCTGTGAGAGAGCAGTCCTGAACCACTGGAGCCAGTGTTCGAGATGGACATCAGGGACTTGGAGGGCCTCATGGCAGATGGAGCATCCGACTTGATGGGCTCTTTCCTGGACCGCTGGTGAAGCACCTTGATCATAGCGTCCTTCTCTATGATCTGTGCATGGAGATTCTTTATCCTGGATTAGGGATAACAAGAGAGAGGATCAGAGTTACTGCAGGACAGTCGACCTAGTTCAGTTTGGTTGGTCCAGACCAATAAAAAACATTGTTGCCTGTTGGTTCTGGTCCGCTTCGTGTTTATACTGGCTTTTTTACAAATGTACAAAGACGAGTAAACATGAAGTCACACAGACTGGTAGCTCATTCATTGAACATGTTTGGTGATGTCATCCTGCATCAGCAGAGCTACATTGACACAGGTGGAGAGATCTAAGTCTTAAGACCAACAACAGGCCTTGCCGTGAAGAGCTCAACAAGAAATATCTGGACCTCATCTGTCACACAACAACAAGAACCAGGGTGGAAATGAGTTTTACTGTTTAATGAAAAACTGCTAAAATACACAATTTCTTTTCATTTTCTGGTGTTTTAGGGAAAATCACTGCACTCATGCTAATGTGCATGTGTTACCATGGTTACAAAATTTTACATATCACTTTGACAGTTGAAAAACAGCAGTTTAACTTTTGGATTGGTTTACACCTGGTATTAACATGCCAGGTGTTAACTGTCCATTTGTGACAGCTCTAAATACAAGTGTAAACAATCACCAAGATGCATTGTGATCAGATCCCTCAAACCACTTGCCAAAGTTATCTTGTATGCATTTGACCACATATCTTTTGTATTGTAAACTTAAATGCATAGCTAAATTTAAGGAGGAGATTCCGTCAATGTTTTATTCAATGCCACGTCTGAATATAAGAGAGTCCTATAATAACTTTAGTCCCTCCCAAATTGATAATCTTGTTAATAGTGCTGCAGGCTCACTACGATCAACATTAGATTCTATCACCCCTATAAAGAGGAAATTATTAAAAAATAGCCAATTGCCAATTAAAGCCAAAAGCTAGGGCATTTTAAATGAAATGGTGCTCTTCGAAATTATTAGAATATTGCTCAATTTGGCAAGATAATCATAAAACCTATAGAAAGGCCCTGTAAGTAGCTGTAATTAAACCCCTTCTTAAAAAGCCCACTCTTGACCCAGGGGTTTTAGGCAACTATAGACCAACGCACTAAGCTGGTTAAGGTCATACTTATCAGATTGTCTCAGTTCGTACATGTTAACGATGAATCTTCCATAAATACTACAGTTAGTCATGGAGTTCCACAAGGTTCTGTACTTGGACCAATACTATTTACTTTATATATGCTTCCTTTAGGCAATATTATTAAGAATCACTCCATTAACTTTCATTGCTATGCAGATGATACACAGTAATATCTATCGATCAAGCCCGATGAAATTAATCAATTATCTAAATTACAAACATGTCCTAAGGACATAAAATCCTGGATGAGCTGCAATTTTCTGATGTTAAACTCAGAAAAAAACAAAATTCTTGTACTTGGCCCCAAAAACCTCAGAGAATTTAAATGAATTGAATTCAGCTGAATGTGTTCACTGACCTGTAAGTACACAGAAACATGCTGTCTATTTGGTTCACTGTAATGCAAATGGAATATTCAGTTCACCTACAGAGCCAACAGATCTGTAGACGGTGCAGTAGACATGACCCTGCACTTCACCCTCCAGCATCTGGACTCCCCAGGGACCTATGCCAGGATCCTGTTTGTGGACTTCAGCTCTGCTTTTAACACCATCATATCTGCTCTGCTACAGGACAAGCTCTCCCAGCTCACTGCGCCTGACTCCACTGCAAGTGGATCACAGACTTCCTGTCTGACAGGAAACAACACTTGCAGCTGGGGAAAAATGTCTCTGACTCCCAGACCATCAGCACCGGATACCCCAAAAGCTGCATTCTTTCTCCTCTGCTCTTTCTCCCTGTACACCAACAGCTGCACCTCCAGTCACCAGTCTGTCAGGCTCCTGAAGTTTGCGGATGACACCTCCCTCATTGGGCTCATCTCTGGTGGAGAGGAGACTGCCTACAGATGGGAGATGAGATTGACCATCTGGTGACCTGGTGCAGCCAGAACAACCTGGAGCTAAACGCTCTGAAAACAGTGGAGATGGTTGTGGACTTCAGGAAGAACCCAGCCCCACCCGCCCCCATCATCCTGTGTGATTCTCCAGTTGACTTGGTGGAGTCCTTCTGCTTCCTGGGTACCATCATCACCCAAGACCTCACCAAGAAAGCCCAGCAGAGGATGTAATCTGAATGCGGAGCTACTTGTGGTTCCTATAGTCTCTAAAAGTAGAACAGGAGCCAGAGCCTTCAGTTACCAAGCTCCTCTCCTGTGGAACCAGCTTCCAGTTGTGGTTCGGGAGGCAGACACCCTCTCCACATTTAAGAGTAGGCTTAAGACGTTCCTCTTTGATAAAGCTTATAGTTAGGGCTGGCTCAGGTGAGTCCTGAACCATCCCTTAGTTATGCTGCTATAGGCCTAGACTATCAGGGGATTCCCCATGATGCACTGAGCTCCTCTCTTCCTCTCCCTCTCTTTCTGCACACATTGACGTCCCATTAATGCATGTAACTAACTTCACTTCTTCCCTGGAGTTCTTGTGCTTTCTCGTCTCGCAGGTTCTCATGGATCCTGGTGGAGCCTCCTGCCATGGTCCTGCTTGACTCCCATTGCTAATATTACTGAAATATTATTATTATCCGCTGTTGTTGCTGTGGTTGCTGTTCGTTGTCCACCATCATTAACTGGATAAAGCATAGTTGGCGGGGTTTTGTTCATTCTTAGGCAAAAAATGTTTACTTCCTCGTATAAAGGGGACCTTTCCGCATATGCTTCCACGTTGTGGAAATTAGACACATACTATCACAAACAGATGCAGAAAAACTAATCCATGCATTTGTTACTTCAAGGCTGGATTACTGCAACTCTTTATTATCAGGTTGCCCCAATAAGTCCATTAAAACGCTCCAATTAACTCAAAACGCTGCAGCACGAGTACTGACAGGAACTAGAAAAAGAGATCACATCTCTCCTGTACTAGCTTCTCTGCACCGGCTCCCTGTAAAATGTAGAATAGAATTTAAAATCCTCCTCCTCACCTATAAAGCTCTTCATGGTGAGGCCCTTTCATATCTTAAAGAGCTCATAGTACCCTATTACCCCACTAGAACACTACGTTCTCTGAATGCTGGGCTACTTGTGTACTTGTGTACTACTTATGTTACTAACTTCACTTCTTCCCCGGAGTTCTTGTGCTTTCTCGTCTCACAGGTTCTCATGGATCCTGGTGGAGCCTCCTGCCATGGTCCTACTTGACTCCCATTGCTAATATTACTGAAATATTATTATTATCCGCTGTTGTTGCCATGGTTGCTGCTCGTTGTCCCCCATTGTTGTTGTCATTGTTGTCATCATCTTCGTGTTCATCAGTCACTACTATTAGTGTAGTTGTAGTAGTAGTACTACTGTTGTTGCTGTGCACCTCTGTCTGTCTGTCTGTCTGTCTGTCTGTCTGTCTCTCTCTCTCTCTCACCCTCTCTGTCCCTCTCTGTCTCACCCCAACTGGTCGAGGCAGACGACCACACACCTGCCGAAAGGTCTGTCCTAGGTTTCTGCCTCCTAAAAGGCAGTTTTCCTTGCCCCCATCGCCAAGTGCCTGCTCATGGTGGTACTGTTGGCTCTGCACAACACCTTCACCAGGCAGAGGAGTGTGTTCAGTGGCAGACTGCTGTCCCAATCCAGCTCCATCAGACTGTACAACAGCTCTTAGTCTGTCTGTCTGTCTGTCTGTCTGTCTGTCTGCTCTCTCTCTCTCTGTCTGAGGCTTCTGCCTCTTAAAAGGAAGTTTTTCCTTGCTGCCGTTGCCAAGTGCTTGCTCATGGTGGTACTGTTGGGTCTCTGTAAATAATGTTATAAGGAGTTCGGTCTTGACCTGCTCTATTTGAAAAGTGTCCTGAGATAACTTCTGTTATGAATTGGCGCTATACAAATAAAATGTAATTGAATTGAATTGACTTCCTGCATCACCTGGGGAAGTTCAACCTGCCAAAGACGATGATGGTGCACTTCTACACCATCATCATCGAGTCCATCCTCACCTCTTCCATCACCATCTGGTACGCTGCTGTCACTGCCAAGGACAAGGGCAGACTGCAGCGTATCATTCGATCTGCTGAGAAGGTGATCGGCTGCAATCTTCCATCCCTCCAGGACCTGTACACCTCTAGGACCCTGAGACTTGCAGGCAAGATTGTGGCTGAACCCTCCTACCCCGGTCACAAACTCTTTGAGAAACTTCCCTCTGGCAGGAGACTGCAGTCCATCAGGACCAAAACCTCCCACCACAAAAACAGTTTCTTCCCATCTGCAGCTGGCCTCATTAAGAAGGCCTGGTACCCCTTTGTCACTGACTCTTATACCCACCCTGTATAAATGCATTACAAGATGCACTCCAGTCTTCTGTACAGTTTTCTTTTCTTATCTTCCTTATCTTTATTTATTTATATTTTGTAAGTATTTTATTCTTCTGTGTGATTTTTATGTGATTTGTATATTTGTATATTTTATGCACCAATGCACCAGGTCACATTCCTCGTAGGTGTAAAAACCTATTTGGCAATAAACATAATTCTGATTCTGATTCTGATATTTTGGCTCTCTTACCGGTCAAGATAAGCAGCAGATGTTTGTGAACAGGAACCGCAATATCCCTAGACTCCCTTAAAAAATTGCACAATTCTGTGAATTGTTCAGTAATAAGAAGCTATAAACTTTGCTGTTTATGAGAAATTCTTAATTATTTGGGCCTTCTTGTAAAGCAAATTTTGTACATGAAGTTATTTCTTTGCTGTTTGTCCTAGCGTGTTGGCTACTACTGTTGGGCCGCTGGTTAAAAACAGCACATTTCCTCCAGGCAAACAAGATACATCATGAACTGACGTACTGTCTACTTGTGATAGGATCATCAAAGTTGTTAATGCGAGGCGTAAACAGGACCACACAGTCCTGTGGTTGGTCTTTTTTACTTTCTGAGTCTGTCCACCAGCCTAAATAAACTGAACCAAACGGGCAAGCACACAGGAAAACAGGCTTAGTATGAAAACCTCTCCACACTAGTGTGTATGCTGCAGCATTTTTTTTAACCACTATGATTCAACCAGTCAACAATGAATCGTGGATGAAAACAACAAACTTTTTTCATTTTTTTCAGTTCTGAGGTTTCTGCTGTTCATTTAATAGCCCGTGTAAGTGACAAGTAGATTGATGTGAGGTCCTGGGTGTTTGATTTGGACCTGGAGAGAGCTAAACTACAGAAATGGATCTCAAGACACACTGAAGAACCTGAAAACAAAAACCCATCTTTGGGATCTTCATAACATAACCTTCCTAAGTAAAAAAAATGTTTGCCTGGCAGTTTAATTTCATGCATTTATATTTACATGGTCAGGTCTCGTGCTCTTGCATGTATGTGGAAAGTGCTCTACCTGCTCTCCATGTCCAGACAGCGCCGATTGGCCATGAGAATCTCCTCTTCTTCCTTCTGGATTCGTGCCTCCACCGACGTGTCATAGCTGCTGCTGGGAGAATGGCTTATTACCGCTGCAGATGTGTCCCTGCAAAACCAGATGGAGTCCCCAATAGATTACAACAGTGTTTAAAGTAGCCTCAGCCACAGCATGTGTGAATTCTTGCCTCATCCTGGCGTAGGTTTTCTCATTAGGCCAGGACAGTGCATTCAAAACATGTAATGCAATAATGATCAAATAAAATAAACATAATATAATAAATATAAAAACTGAAGAGACCATTTGAAACTAGCAGTACCCACCACAGCAGAGTGGAAGTAAAAAAAAATAAAAAAATAAAAAAAAAATCTGAAACAATATAACAAAAATAAAACACGATTTTACTAAAATATAATACAAATATACAGGAAAGGTTTTTAGTTTAAACTGTCAATTTCATCAAATTTGGCATAACAACAAGCATGAGGAGGCATTGTATGTATGTTTATTAAGACTGGGATGTCTACATACATACTACTACAATGTGTTTGTATTTTAATACCTGTTGTGAACTTCTTAAATCTTGCACCTGACAAATAGCCCCATATTATTATTTTAAAATAATTATTTTTAAACTAAAACACTGAAATTGATGAAAAAATCATTTTAAAATCATCATTTTTAAACAATAAAAACCAAACTAAAATGAGCAAACCCATTCTGGGAACTCAACTAAACTGAAAAAGAAAATGAAAAGCAAAATAAGAAATAATGGACTTGTGAGATCACGATATCATAATATCCACCTTGATTCCAGCTTCCTTTGAGAAAGTACTGGAAGCTACGGGGTGGGCTCAGGGTGTGAAGCAGTGTGTTAAACAACAACAGTGTCTGCTAAAGAGGTTAGTATAGATGCTTCTAGCATCAGTTCTATCAGAACTGGGAAGTATTTCTTTGTTGAAAGGAAAGCAAAGAACAGCATTGAATGCATTGGAAAAGAGGTTTTATCTTTTCTCCCGACTGACTTTTGACTACCTTATATGGTTTATTGATCTGATTGGTTGAAATTTACCAGAGATAGACTGTGACAGATGGTTGGCCCAATCACCTACTGAATATTTTTTGAAAGCCTCCCATTTTCCAACAACTTCCCAGATGGTTCTGTGTAACAAACCACCTGGCAGTCAGGTAATTTTCCTCAGCCCACATTCACCCCCACCCTCTGCTGCTCTCTCTCACTTGCTCAACCACACACTCACTGTGCTATGCTACTCTGAACAATCAGTGGTCTGTCACGCCTTTCAGTATCAGCCCAGCTCGCTTGGAACCTTGACCGAGGTGGAACCAAAATAAGTACAAGGTACCAGGTACTGTCCACAATGGAGAACCAAAAGAGGTCTAGTGAAGCCGAGTCGTGCCGAGCCCTACCCTTCATAAAGTCTTGTATGTTTGGAGACGTTTTGGCTTGACTGACAGGTGTCTCTGAGGTGGTTGCTGCTACACTGGCTGCCGTTTGCTTGACTTGAACTCTATTCAGGCTCCATTCCGTTGCTCCAACTTGGATTTGAATATGAGAAAGAGGGTTGTGAGCACAAAATCCAAACCCCAGACTACAATACTTTCTTCATAAACTGTGTATGATTGTAATGAATCTCAAACAATGGCTCAGAGAAGGAAATGTCAATATCTTTTACACTTTTGAACTTACCTCTGAGTGGCGACAGAGGCAGCAGCGTCCAGGGCAAACTGCCTCATCACACTCTCCTCTAAGTACTTCTGCTCCCACTTGGTCATATCGGCCTCCAGAGCCAGGATCCGTTCCTCCTTCTCCCTCAGATGCTCCATGAGTGCTGTGGCGTTGTACTCTGACGGGGCAACACCACTGCTTTGAGAGCCTCCCTGACGCTGGGAGAATGCAAGAGAGAAAGCAAAAAGAACAAGGGAGACAGAACACAAAAGAGGACTCAAAACAAAATATGTTGCGAGGTTAACTCCTATGTTAACATCCTAACGCAGTCATTTTATGTTATGACAACATTAAATAGTAAAAAATTAAAGTTTGAAATATTGTTCATGTGCTTTTTAGTGTATAATTAAAATATTTTCTATTGGAAGACGGGTGTGGTGTGTTACCTGCTGCATGCGGAGAGACTCCAGCTCTCTCTCCAGTCTTGTACGGAGTCGATGCTCAAGTTGTTCTCTCTTCTCACAGGCTGCCTGGAGCTGCGCCAGAGCTTGTTGCATCTTCTCCACCTTCTCCACGTAAACCTGCTTCTTTTTCAGCTGCATGTGTGCACACACACACACACACACACACACACACACACACACAGAAGGCAATATTTTCACCATATATATAATATATACAGTGCTGTGAAGAAGTATTTGTCCCCTTCCTGATTTCTTATTTTTTTGCATATTTGTCACACTTAAATGTTTCAGATCATCCAACTAATTTTAATATTAGACAAAGATAACCTGAGTAAATACAAAATGCAGTTTTTAAATGATAAAATAATAATAATAATAATAATAATAATAATACATTTATAAATAGTATTTATAAAGGGCTAATTGTGGTTCCTATAGTCTCTAAAAGTAGAACAGGAGCCAGAGCCTTCAGTTACCAAGCTCCTCTCCTGTGGAACCAGCTTCCAGTTGTGGTTCAGGAGGCAGACACCCTCACCACATTTAAGAGTAGGCTTAAGACATTCCTCTTTGATAAAGCTTATAGTTAGGGCTGGATCAGGTGAGTCCTGAACCATCCCTTAGTTATGCTGCTCTAGGCCTAGACTATTGGGGGATTTCCCATGATGCAATGAGCTCCTATCTTCCTCTCCCTCTCTACATTTTAATAACTTCCCTTCTTCCCCGGAGTTCTTTCTCGTCTCGCAGGTTCTCATGGATCCTCCTCCATGACTCCCACTGATAATATTACTAATATTATTGTTATTATTATTATTATTACTACAATTACTATTATTACTATAGTCAATGCTTATTGTCCCCCATCGTTGTTGTCATCTTCGTCATCATCTTCTTCATGTTCATCATCATCAGTCGCTACAATTAGGCTGGGGTCCTTTTCTATGCTGTGGTTTGGTGGGGAGGAAGCAGCAAGAAGAGAGACGCCGCTCGACTGGACAGACTGGTGAGGAAAGCTGGCCCAGTGGTGGGCACATAGCTGGACTCTATGGTGACAGTGGCAGAAAGAAGGACCCTGGACAAACTGCTGTCCATACTGGACAACACCCACCACCCTCTGCACAACACCTTCACCAGGCAGAGGAGTGTGTTCAGTGGCAGACTGCTGTCCCAATCCAGCTCCACCAACAGACTCAAAAAGTCTTTCGTCCCCCTGGCCATCAGACTGTACAACAGCTCTTTGTCTGTCTGTCTGTCTGTCTGTCTGTCTGTCTGTCTGTCTGTCTGTCTCTCTCTCTCTCTCTCTCTCTCTCTCTCTCTCTCTCTCTCTCTCTCTCTCTCTCTCTCTGTCTGAGGCTTCTGCCTCTTAAAAGGAAGTTTTTCCTTGCCGCCGTTGCCAAGTGCTTGCTCATGGTGGTACTGTTGGGTCTCTGTAAATAATTTTATAAGGAGTCCGGTCCAGACCTGCTCTATTTGAAAAGTATTGTGAGATAACTTCTGTTATGAATTGGCGCTATACAAATAAAATTTAATTGAATTGAACTGAAAATTTCACTAGTCACACCCAGACCTGATTACTGCCAGACCTGCTGAATCAAGAAATCACTTAAATAGTACCTGTGTGACAAAGTGAAGTAGGCTAAACGATCTTAAAAAGCAATACATCATGGTGCAATGTAGAAATTCAAGAACAGATGAGAAACAAAATCATTTATCAGTCTGAAAAGGGTCACTTTTCAGCCATTTCGCTGGAGTCCCAAAGCCATTTCTAAGGCATTTCGCTGGAGTCCCACGCCATTTCTAAGGCTTTGGGACTTTAGCGAACAGAGGTGAGAGCCATTTTTCACAAATCAAGAAAACTTGGATCAGTGGTGAACCCTCAAAGGAGTGGCCGGCCTACCAAAATTTCTTCAAGAGTGCATCAACGACTTCTCCAGGAGATCACAAAAGAACCCAGAACAACATCTAAAGAACTGCAGGCCTCACTTGCCTCAGTTAAGGTAAGTTAAGTTCATGATTCAACAATAAGAAAGAAGCTGGGCAAAAATGGCATCAATGGGGGAGTTCTAAGGCAAAAACCACTGCTGACCAAATCCTGAAGGAGAATATCCAACCATCAGTTTGTGATCTCAAGCTCAAGCGCACTTGGGTTATGCAGCAGGACAATGATCCGAAACACACAAGTCCACCTCTGAATGGCTTAAAAAAATCAAAATGAAGGTTTTGGAGTGGTCTAGTCAAAGTCCGAACTTAAATCTGATTGAGATAATGTGGTGTGACCTTAAACAGGCCGTTCGTGCTCGAAAACCCTCCAATGTGGCTGAATTAAACAATTCTGCAAAGAAGAGTGGACTAAAATTCCTCCACAGCGATGTGAAAGACTCATTGCCAGTTATGGTCGAGACAGACGACCACCCACCTAGAGCCGGAGGATCTGTCCTAGGTTTCTGCCTTTTAACAGGCAGTTTTTCCTTGCCCTTGTCGCCAAGTGCTTGCTCATGGTGGTACTGTTGGGTCTCTGTAATTAATGTTTTAAAGAGTTCGGTCTAGACCTGCTCTATTTGAAAAGTGTCCTGAGATAAATTCTGTTATGAATTGGCGCTATACAAATAAAATTGAATTGAATTGAATTGAATTGAATTATCACAAACCTTATTGCAGTTGTTGCCGCAGAGGGGGGCACATTAGGTTTAGGGGGCAATTACTTTTCCACATAGGGCCAGGTGGGTTTGGATAGCTTTTTTCCCTTTATAATTTTTTTATAATTTACTTGGGTTATCATTGACTAATATTAAAATTTGTTTCATGATCTGAAACATTTAAGTGTGACGAATATGCAAAAATATAAGAAATCAGGAAGGAGGGAAATGCTTTTTCACAGCACTGTAAACACATATATAAGTTTATGTAATCCTAAACCATACAGGGTATCACTTTTTTTACACTTTGACATGATGTTGTTTCTGAAAGTGGATTAACATTATTATTGTTATCATTACATTTTTGAGTGTCCAAACAAAAACAAATCAGACAGATTACAGACAACACTCGTATCTCCACTTGCTCTGGGCTGTAGTCTTTGTTACTGCTCAATAGACTGATTTACATCGGAGTGACTATCTGCAAAAGCAGGAAAATAAATAGCAAGTGCAGAGAAAAGAGGAAAGGAAGACAGAGCCGAGAGGAGCTGTGAGAAGGCAGGCTGAGGGCCAAGAATCTGATGGCTCTTTCATTTTTATAGAGAGCGGGATGGAGCAAGAAAAAAGCTTGCAGCTCTTTTGTTCTGACAACAAACAAGCGTTGTCTGTCGGAGGCCGGCTTTGGCCCTGCTTCCGCCGTTTCCTGTCCTGTACCCCACCCCCAACCCCCACACCTCCTGGATCCAGACCAAGCGAGAGCCAGCCACCAGCAGCTGCGCAGGATGGCTGGCAAATCCAGGATGGAGGGATGATGGGTGAAGAGGTGAGGGGAGAGCTATGGGGGAAGAAGGAAAAAGAAGGAAGGAGATGGAGAGGGTGCAGAAAGAGGAAATCAAGATTAAAAGGTTGAGAGATGGAAGAAGAAGCAGAGAAAAAGAAAAGAGGGACAATGAACAGAAGATGAAAGAAAGGGAAAAGATGGAAGAAAGAGTCAACAAGGAAGCAGGAGGGAGGGTGGGAAGAGAGAGAGAGAACATATAAATCATCAAGAGAAAAAGGAATAAAGTGTGAGCAGTAAGAAAGGATGAAGAATAGCACAGCTGAGGAGGAAGACTGCAGACAGAAACAACATGCTGACGCCAGTGTTTTGAAAAAAAAAATTGTGGAGCTCAGAGGTTATGACCTCTGATATGGTAACCATGGTGACCACGTCCACTACAAGCATGTGAAACAGAAAACAGGAAGAGGTTCATCTGTGAGGCAACAGATTTTTCCCTTGCAACTGTTCTTTTTTTTTTTTAAGCACCAATGTCAGCATATAGTTTCTACTGCACAGATAACTCCTTATGTGAATTGATACAGACATATATGTAGATCAAAGGATGAATCCTGATGACTTTCCATCAAGAACCAACATGAGGTCAAAACTGTTATCAGTCCAATATTTTGATTTATGAAAAATACCTACAAAACTAAAGACATTCTCATCAGCCTCAGCTGAACTTTGTGCTGTGTTGTGTTTAGTGCTAATTATTAAATGCTAAGCTAAGATGCTGAAGATGATAAATATCAGGCAAAATCTACTGAACATTAGCATGTTAGCAGACTGGTGTTAGTATTGCTCTATTTGTACAGTCACAGAGCTGACTCTAGACTCTCTTCAGTCATATTCTATTACTAGTTGTTACTGCATCCCATGCCCAAGCCAATACAGATACCAATTATTTGTAATCATGGACACAAATATTGTATATTTGGAACTGATATATATTTGCAGTCAAAAATTAGAAATACCAGTGGTACAGTGTAACTAAGTTCATTTATCCTACTCAAGTACTGTACTGAAGTACAATTTTGAGTTACTTTCTATTAATTTATACTTTACTCCACTACATTTTCGATGAAAATATTGTACTTTATATTACACTACATTTATTTGATACATTTAGTTACTAGATACTTTACAGATTCACATCATTAATATAAAATATAAATCAACTAATAAACTATGATATAGATGAAGCTACCCAGCAGTATAAAATAAATAAAATGAGATCCACCTTTACAAGCTGCACTTTTACGTCTGGTACTTGTATACAGTTCTATATTTCTTTATTTTAAGAGAACATTTCAATGTAGTAGTAGTTCTCTCCCTCAATCCTCTCAATAATAATAACACTGTTTACATCAAGTTTATTACTGAGATCTGGGAACACTGTGACATCACAAAAAGAAGTCTGGCAGTTTGTGTCGTGTCTCTTCTGTATAGCACTTACTGCACTGTATTATTTATATCCTGTTCTGACTCTGCTCAACTTGTGTCCACAGTGCCACGAATGAATGTGATCTATAGCACTATGTGTGTTAAAGTAACAAGAGAAGACAAAGGACCAAATCATCTATTTCCCCATGCTTCAGTTCCATCCATAGCCACCAGGGGACATGACAGTATACACTACATCCACTGAGTCAAACAGACAGATCAGCAGATCTGTGAGGAAACACTGGTGTCAGATAGCACGGCAACACCAGAGCCAGAACACAGAGATTTTCCACTAAAGTAAAACTTTGGTAACCAGGAGACACAAGATACTTGCCAAGAATCAAAACAAACAATAAGGTGACCTGATTTTCTGTACACAGGCAGGCAACTGTGAGTTTAAGAAAAATAAGAAACAAATGAGATGTTGAAGCCACTTACACAACAGTGCGTGTCTCCACAGTCTGCCTGATATTTTATTCATTTTCTGCTATTTAATTTTACCAAGGAGCTTACCAATTCTGAAGGAGTTTTATGACACAACGCTAGTTTAATCATCTCACTACATAAAACTTGGCGTCAGGGGTTAAAGGCATACGAGTCCCAAACTCACACCCTGCATGCTGCCCAAGAAATTATCCACACACAACAAAATAAGAAAATACAGACAGAGGTCTTCACAGTCTCTGCAGATACAGACACAGATTCTGGCAAAAATAGAGCGAAATGATAATTCAATTAAATTGATACGTATCACAATACAGGGTTTATGATTTGATATATTGCAATACTGTAAGCAAGCCGATATACTGTAATTTATTTTTCTTTAAATATTATTTTACGAAAACGGTCATAGTATAAAGAACATACCACCATATGTATAAAATCTTTTTTTAGCACACCCAGAACAGTGGGATCTGCATTTTTATCAGTCCCTGTAACATCCAACATGTCAGCTCTCAGTTTATATTTACAACCCTGCTATCTAGCTGTTGGGGGTTTAAACACAAAACTCAATACAGGGTTTTTGAGAATTGACACAATATCACAAAACAAAATATCGCGATACAATATTTTTTTTAATTTTTTCATACCCGTAGTCAAAAGTGAAATCGCGTGTCTCCAGTTCAAGTATGGCCTTTGTACCTTTCCGCATTTAATTGCCCATCTCTCTCTCCACATTCTGTCATTTCTTCACTGTCAAAAATCCCTAAGAAAGATGAATGACATGAAAATGCCTTAAACAAACCTTGATTGACAGGTCAAATCAATATTCCAACCTTGTTTCTTGCAGATTTTCCCCATTTGCAAAGCAGCATCTACATGTTTTCATCTTGCTTAGATTACTGCAATTATTTATGTTCCTGTCCAAGTCAATAGACCCTCTCTAAGCTTCAGAGTCAGAGAGCAGCAGCGGGAGGGGCAGGGCCCTGGTCTAGAGGTTTAAAGGTCCAGTATGTAGGATTTAGTGGCATCTAGAACAAAATATCCCTTCCCCGTTCACTTCCAAGCGTGAAGGAGAAACTACACTGAACAAAATTATAAACGCAACACTTTTGTTTTTGCCCCCATTCATCATGAGCTGAACTCAAAGATCTAAGACTTTCTCTATGTACACAAAAGGCCTATTTCTCGTAAATATTGTTCACAAATCTGTCAAAATGTGTGTTAGTGAGCACTTCTCCTTTGCCGAGATAATCCACCCACCTCCCAGGTGTGGCATATCAAGATGCTGATCAGACAGCATGGGTATTGCACAGGTGTGCCTTAGGCTGGCCACAATAAAAGGACATGCGAAAATGTGCGGTTTCACTGTATTGGGAGGGTCCGGGGGGGGTCCGGAAACCAGTCAGTATCTGGTGTGACCACCATTTGCCTCACGCAGTGCAACACATCTCCTTGGGTGTCATGTCCTGTGAGTATGCTGGCCATGCAAGAACTGGGATGTTTTCAGCTTCCAGGAATTGTACAGATCCTTGCAACATGGGGCCGTGCATTATCATGCTGCAACATGAGGCGATGGTCGTGGATGAATGGCACAACAATGGGCCTCAGGATCTCGTCACGGTATCTCTGTGCATTCAAAATGCCATCAATGAAATACACCTGTGTTCGTTGTCCATAACACACGCCTGCCCATACCTGCCCATGACATGATGGTTAAACACGGCGGCTCGCAGCATCTGTAGATAAATACAGCTCATTCTAAGGTAACGAAAACAACAATTTCTATTGTCAGGTGATTATATAAAAAACATACCTATGAATATTTCTGACAATAAAGCCTCCTAAATGTTACACACTGGACCTTTAAAACGCTAATTATGTAATCACAACACCGCCAGCTGGGAGCCTTGCTGCCTGTCATCCCTCTAGAAGTAAACCTTTACTGTGTTTGTGACAGCCCACCTCTCACAGCTTCTAGGACACTAAATACAGTAAGTCACAGTTCAGGGTTCCCACTGTTTTCAAGAAAGCATTGTCCAGGTGGTAAATGGTAAATGTACAGCACCCTTCTAGTCTTCCAACCACTCAAAGTGCTTTTTTTTTTTACATTACATGCCGTTTCACACACATTCACACAGCGATGGCAAAGCCCATCAAACAAAAATTAACGCATTCACAATGTGGGGTTCAGTATCTTGCTCAAGGATACTTCAGCATGTGGCAGGAGGAGCCGGGGATCGAACCACCAACTTTCCCATTAGGAGAGGACCAGCTCTGCCTCTGCACCAGAGCGGCCCAGGTGTTGTTCTAGACACTTGCTCACCAACGCTCATATAATTTACAAGTAGACCAACACATTTAATTCCAGTTATCTCACAGCTTATCCTACCAACAGTCGAGTTTCAAACAAAATATGCACCCAGGTTTACGTAGGCGATCTGAGTGAGGGACTAAAATACAATTTTTGGTAATTTTAATCCATGACTCGAAAACTAGTCTCTAAATTTCCAGGTTTTCAGGATGTGTGGGAACCCTGACAGTTGTGGCTGCAACCATTAAATATTAGAGGTTTCTACATACAGATAGAAGAAGTCTTCATTCTTATGAGTCAACAAGCTGTACCTGGCTTGAGATGTGGCTGTTGGCTGATTCTAGCCTCCCTAATGAATATTTGTTTAGTTAAGAAAACATCATGGAGAAAAATGCGTGACTTTAATTAATTAAGTGGCTTTAAAATGGTTTTTATCTATCCTCTTATCTCTCTATCTAAATCAGGGTTTTCTGGCACAAATCCACCAACCAGAACTGAATCCTGGATTTAAAAATCCAGATGGTGCTCTTACCTCCTCCTCCAGCTTGACCACCTTGGCCTGGGCGTTGTTGAGAGCCTGGTCTCGGATCTCTATGTGTCTTCTCTGGTCTTCCGTGGTGGAGCGCAGTGCGTTCAACTCCATCTCCAGCTTCTCCTTCTCACGCAGAGCCTCTTTGTCTGAACACACAAGCACATGAACACACGTACAAACACAATGTCTGCTTATTTCTTTATAAAGCTTATTGCTGTACACACCAAATATCAGTCATGTTACACAAATTGTTTTGTGAACTACCTGCTGTTTTGTTTCATCAGACACAACCAATTTGATCCCTGAGGAATGCCAGGGGTGGCATGTTGAATGTCCCAGCCTGTGTGTGTGTGTGTGTGTGTGTGTGTGTGTTTGTGTGTGTGTTGTACCCACTCTGTGTAAGCAGCTGGGAGATGGTTTTGCGGTTGTCCTCAGAGCCGTCACACTCTTTAGCAGCGAGCTGCTTGTTGGCCGTCTCCATGCGCTCTTTAAAACAACAACATACAACACACATGCTCAAAATGAAGACATTCACTGATCTATAGCATCAAATCATGTCATCTTTAAAGGACCAGTGTGTAGGAAGGAGGAGTTTCATCTAGCGGGGAAGTTACAGACTGCAACCACTTGAATGCAGCTGATCCCTTTAAGTGTGTAAGAGACACACTCAGACAGGTTTGTCTTTATTAATTTGCCAGGTGAGCCTAATTAATGGTAAATTACCTAAGGATGTTGTTCCACAATATTAAGCAAGTCACAGGTTTCATGCAATGTAGGGGAAAAAATATCTTTCTGCAGATGAAAAGCGTGAAATAGTGCAGTATCTTTCAATAGGTAGGAAACTAGTGGATATTTTACGAAATATTAAGAGAGATCATCGTCCTGTGAAAAGATTTGTGTCTCATTCAGAGCGCAGACGAGTTCGTTCAGATAAAGGCGTGTTTGAAAAAGTTTCTGTAAGGCTAATTCATCATATTAAGTGAGCAGCTGTGAAAAAGCCACTGATGAGTAGTAAAAAAGGTATTTGAAGTTGCTGGTGCCTCTGGAGTCCCAAGGCCCTCTCGATGCAGGATCCTCCAGAGGCTTGCTGATGTGCATAAAGCTGTATTTCAGCCACCCTTAAACAATGCCCACAAGGAGACATGGTAAATGGACCTGTACTTGTATAGCGCCTTTCTAGTCTTCCAACCACTCAAATCACTTTTACACTATGTGCCACATTCACCCTTTCACACACATTAATGAAACTAACATTCATACACATTCACACACCGATGCACGGCATCGGGAGCAATTTGGGGTTCAGTATCTTGCTCAATGACACTTTGACATGTGGCAGGAGGAGCCGGGGATCAAACCCACAACCTTCTGATTAAGGAACGACCCACTCTGTCTCTGATCCACAGCCGCCTGATTGCAGTAGGCTGAGAAATACATGAAGACTAATTGTCTAACAGTTTTATTCACTGATGTATGCCGTGGTACACTGGATGGTCCAGATGGAAGGAGTACTGGATGGCCACCATGTCCCAACAAGGCTGCAACGTCAGAAAAGAGTGGTGGAGGGATGTTTTGGGATGGAATCATGGGAAGTGAGTTGGTAGGCCCCTTTAAGGTGCCTGAAGGTGTCAAAATGAACTCTGCAAAATATGTGGAGTTCCTAACTGCCCATTTCCTGCCATGGTATAAAAAGAAGAACCGTGCCTTCCGGAGTAAAATCTTTTTCATGTAAGACAACGCACCATCCCATGCTGCAAGAAATACCATTGAGGCCTAGGCTGCTATGGGCATTAAGGGAGAAAGAATCACGGTGTGGCCACCATCATCTCCTGACCTCAACCCTACTGAGAACCTGTGGAGCATTCTTAAAAGGAAGCTCTATGAGGGTGGGTGGCAGTTTACTTCAAACATCGGCTCTGGGAGGCAACTCGGGCATCCTCAAAGGAAATACAGGCAGAAACTGTACATGGACTTACAAGTTCAATGGATGAGAGAGTTGCTAATGTGATATCAAAGAAGGGCTCCTATGTTAATATGTAACTCAATCTGTAAAGATGTTTTTGATTGAAATAGCTTGGATTGGAGAAAAATTACACCCTAATGCAAAAAATACAACAGATTTATGTTTTCAACCTTTAGGAACTATTGAGTGGGCGCCCGGTTAGCTCAGTTGGTAGAGCTGGCAACCCATATATGCAGCCGCCTAGGTTCAAATCCGACCTGCAGCCCTTTGCTGCATGTCATCACCTCTCTCTGCTCACCTTTTCTGTCTCTCTCTAGCCATCTCTGTCAATAAAGGCATAAAAGGCCCAAAAAAGTAATACTTTAGAAACTATTGAGTGTTTTGAAACTCTGTTTTGCATAATAATTTGGAACACTGCATTTTGAGTTTTTTTGCAAAAAAAAGCCATTGTCATCATTGGTAATTTAATTTAATAAAATCCAGATTACGATACAACTGTTGAGGAATAAAAAATGACTGCCAATTATTTTGACTTGATTTAGGGAAAAAAATAACAAAAACGGTATATATGCATAATAATTTGGAACACAGTGTAATAAATTATAGAAATGAAATATAATATTCATGGAATGGTTTCATGCCTATGAATATTATATTTAATTTCTTCCAAAAGATCCTCCTAAATGTTACACACTGCACCTTTTAGAAGTATCAGTTTCAGCACCTCTATAGAGTGCTGCAGGAATAAGTCCTAAAACCCTGAACTGAGTTTGCATTTTTCCACGTCTGGTTCCCAGGCCTTGAAGTCAGTGTTTTGATTTCAGTGGGTTTTGGTTAGTTAAATAAGGTCTGTGGTTAACACAAGCTTAAGAGATTTTTCAGGTTTTGCTCTGAAAAAGCTGTCACATGCTACCAAGTGGCTAAATGACTACCGAGGTTGTCGTGTCATTAAACATCAGCACAAAGAACACTTGATGATTAATGATCAAGCTAAAAGTTACCTTTGTTTCTGGTGATCCCATTTATGCATCCAAAATCATGAAGTGGTGTTCATTTCATATGATTATCTGATGTAATAAAACATATAAAAAATTTAACAGGGTTGAGCTGGTACAGCAAACATAAGCTATCAATCTATTATGTATTGGTTTAAATAAAGATAATCAAATAGGTCAAACCTATGTGATTTTTTTTTAGATCAAATAACTTATTTGGCCAATTTTGACAGCACTTACATACACCAACTAAAATGGCGTAATCAGTGCACAAACTCTTTACTTTCTTTCAAGATCTCCAAAACAAAGCTACAGTGAGTGCATGTTGACCTTTGACCCAGAAAAGTGGAGCAAAGTATCCATTACACGTGCACATGTCTGCCAAAGCTATGAAGGAAGAAACAGAAAGGAAGCAGGAAGGAGAGATGGCAGGAAAGAAAAAGAGGCTCTGTGGTGACTTGTTGTAAGAGGCTCCCAGTGGACCTGAGCCTGGGCTGCAAGCCATGAACGGAGCTTTCTTCTCTCTAATGTGTGTGTGCGTGTGTTGGCAAGAGTTGTAGAAAATGGCCAAGCGTATTTTTTCAAATTGTCAGAACAATTATTTCAGCATCCATTCATTCAGCATCCATTCATTCTGACTCATTCTCTCAGTGTGCATTCACACTGGCCTACATCATCTTTAAAGCTGCAGTAAGTAATTTTTCATAAAAAATAATTTTTATCATATTTGCTGAAACTTTAAGACTGACAGTAAGACAGATAATTTGTACAAAAATCTGTTTCCTCTGGCTCCTCCTAGTACTCCTAATGGAATTTGCAAGAATCCACTGGGCCGAACGATAACCAATTGGTAACCAAAAACATATTTTTTTATAAAAGTTACCTACTGTAACTTTAAACCTGATTGTGCATTGTGGGTGCACCTTTTCTCCATACACAGATTTGTTTGCTTTGTAGTTGCAGCTAATAGAGCTCATTCTGTCAATCAGTCAGTCCCACAAACACAGCAGAATCAGTACATGTACTACTGCAGCAACATATAGACATACGACATATAAATAAAATTGGTTACCCCTCCTCTTCAACACATCGACATTTTTTCAATCTGTTTAAAAAACAAAACAGGAAGCTGCTTCCACCAGTGTAGTAATATGCTCCATTTGCAGTCAGTTGTATCCGGAGTGTGATTCTGGGAGTGGTTGCAGCTCCCTGCTCTCTCACCTCGAAGGTCCCTGTTGAAGTCGTGCAGTCGGCGCACCTCGAGCTCCAGCTTGTTTCTCATGGTTTTCTCCAGGGCTTCCCTCTTGGAGGAGGACTTGGCAAGGTTTTCATAGGCCTCTGACACCAGCTGGATCTCTGTTTCCAACTGGACACAGGCACAGGAGGAATGAAGGGAAGCAGAGTTAACACAGGAAGGAAATGCATCAAACCATTATGTAAATGTTATTTCTCTATCTACATTCATATCCAATTACTGACCTGTCTCAAAGATGGCCTCACAGAAAGCCATATGACAAACAATACTGTATTTTGACTGCTGGGTTCGTCATCTGTTACCAGGTGCAGCTTGGTGGTTGGTTTCCTAAACACTGTGTACAGCCCTGGCTTCACCAAATGTGAGGTGTTCACGACTGAGACCATAGATGTATTTTGGTCGAAGCAGACAGCCGCCCACCTAGATTCTGTTCAAGGTTTCTGCCTGTTAAAAAGAGTTTTTTCCATGCCACTGTCACCGAGAGCTTGCTCTTGGTGGGAATTTGAGGATTTCTGTAAATAATTCTGTAAGGATTACAGGTCTAGACCTGCTTTATATAGTGTCCTGAGATAACTTGTGATTTGGCGCTATACAAAGAAAAATGAATTGAATTTAACTGGATAAAGCATAGGAGGCGGGGTTTTGTTCATTCTTAGGCAAAAAATGTTTACTTCCTCGTATAAAGGGGACCTTTCCGCATATGCTTCCACATTGTGGGGCAAACAGAACAAGCGCACTCGAGACTTCCGCTGGCTGAGCCACTCACTTCTACTTGGCCCCAAAAACCTTAGAGACTTAATTCAATTCAATTAAATTTTACTTACTGTCTAAAGATATAGTTACTCTAGATGGCATTACCTTGGCCTCTAGCACCACTGTCAGGAATCTTGGAGTTATCTTTGATCAGGATTTATCATTTAATTCCTGCATAAAGCAAAGCTCTAGGACTGCCTTCTTTCATTTACGTAATATTACAAAAATTAGACACATACTATCACAGACAGATGCAGAAAAACTAATCCATACATTTGTTACTTCAAGGCTGGATTACTGCAACTCTTTATTATCAGGTTGCCCCAATAAGTCCATTAAAACGCTCCAATTAATTCAGAACGCTGCAGCACGAGTACTGACAGGAACTAGAAAAAGAGATCACATCTCTCCTGTACTAGCTTCTCTGCACTGGCTCCCTGTAAAATGTAGAATAGAATTTAAAATTCTCCTCCTCACCTATAAAGCTCTTCATGGTCAGGCCCCTTCATATCTTAAAGAGCTCATAGTACCCTATTACCCCTCTAGAACACTATGTTCTCTTAAAGCAAGGCTACTTGTGGTTCCTATAGTCTCTAAAAGTAGAACAGGAGCCAGAGCCTTCAGTTACCAAGCTCCTCTCCTGTGGAACCAGCTTCCATTTGTGGTTCGGGAGGCAGACACCCTCTCCACATTCAAGAGTAGGCTTAAGACATTCCTCTTTGATAAAGCTTATAGTTAGGGCTGGATCAGGTGAGTCCTGAACCATCCCTTAGTTATGCTGCTATAGGCCTAGACTATCGGGGGATTTCCCATGGTGCACTGAGCTCCTCTCTTCCTCTCTCTTTCTGCACTCATTCAGGTCCCATTAATGCATGTTACTACCTTCACTTCTTCCCCGGAGTTCTTATGCTTTCTCGTCTTGCAGGTTCTCATGGATCCTGGTGGAGCCTCCTGCCATGGTCCTGCTTGACTGCCATTGCCAATATCACTGATATTACTGTTATTATTATTATTATAAGTATTATTATAGCTACGGTTACTGTTGTTGCTGTTGTCACTGCTCATTGTCCCCCATCGTTGCTGTTGTCATGTTCATTATCATCAGCCACTACTATATACTATAGTGTAGTTGTTGCTACTGTTGTTGCTGTGCACCTGTCTGTCTGTCTGTCTGTCTGTCTGTCTGTCTGTCTGTCTGTCTGTCTGTCTGTCTGGCTGTCTGTCTGGCTGTCTGTCTGGCTGTCTGGCTGTCTGTCTGGCTGTCTGTCTGGCTGTCTGTCTGGCTGTCTCTGTCTCTCTCTCACCCCAACTGGTCGAGACAGACGACCACCCGCCTAGAGCCGAAGGATCGGTTGGGTCTCTGTAAATAATGTTTTTTTTTTAAAGAGTTCGTCTAGACCTGCTCTATTTGAAAAGTGTCCTGAGATAACTTCTGTTATGAATTGGCGCTATACAAATAAAATTGAATTTAACTGAATTGAATTCTGGTTTAGCACTACACTAATTTGAATGTGGATAAAAAAAATATCGTGCAGCTCTATTAGACATTCCAAATGTTATCAGACCAAATGGATCAAATAGATACATCTGATAGTGAAACAAGTTATTTTGTGGGGGCTTTGATCCTCAAACAAATGTATCCACTGTTTTACAGCTGCTACAGCCATGACAGGCGCCATTGCTTTATTTGATAAAGCAATTTTGTCCAAACAAATTGGATGACTTTTTTATGTTTTTTCTTGCATGCTTTCATACTGCAAAGTACCTTATCAACAGCATGGTGAGCATTACAGCCCACACACAAACACCAACAAACTCTCTATGAATGATTATTCCAGAAGTGAGATCTGATGGCTCCTATCCATCTTTTCCACGCTACTTTGTAAAATCAAGAATGTGTTCATAGTGTCACATTTAATTTGGAGAGAATAGGTCAGCATATGTTTATTAGTTTAACATTAAACTCATTTAGCAGTTGTTCAAAGCAACGTACAATTTTGCTTTTGCTTCACATATGCACTAGTTATTGCTGTGTACTAGTTACATGTCAGTCTAATTGTCTACAGCCCTCTTAGTGCAACATTTCTCTGCCGCTGCTCAGCAAGGAGACTGTGGAAGCAAGAAGTCGGATTTTCATACTAAAAAGCTTTGGAAGATACCCATTTGGTTTTCCTTACTCAGCTTGACTTTAGAGTGCTTTTTTACACAGAACAAATGGTAAATGGTAAATGGACCTGTACTCGTATAGTGCCTTTCTAGTCGTCCGACCACTCAAAGCGCTTTTACACCACATGCCACATTCACCCTTTCACACAGTGATGGCAAAGTCCATCGAACAGAAACTAACATTCATACACACTCACACACCGATGCACGGCATCAGGAGCAATTTGGGGTTCAGTATCTTGCTCAAGGATGCTTCGACATGTGGCACCAGGAGCCGGGGATCGAACCCACAACCTTCCCGATTAAGGAACGACACGCTCTGCCTCTGAGCCCAACAAGAGATCATCACTTATACTGAAACTGATTTTAGCATGTCAGTACTTACTACTAAAAACGTGTTTGGTGGACACAAGCCCTAACTCACACAATTCCAATCACATTTTAAAGGATATCGACTGATTATCGTTATCGCCAAAATCCCAAAAAATAACAAGATATTATTTTTTGCCCATATCGCCCACCCCTAATAGGTAGGTTTTCATTAGTATATAATCACCAGAACACAAGAATCATTGTGTTTTGTTAACTTAGAATAAGCCATTTTTATCTACAGAGTCCTCTTCTACAGAGTCCGCCATGTTGAACCGCCATGTTTCTACAGTAGCCCAGAATGTAGTAGTACTAGTCTCCTACACACTTAAAACAGGAGGGTGAGGCGAGGGATTAGTAATCTGCAACTACACTGCTAGATGCCACTAAATCCTACACACTGGACCTCCAAAAGAAATTGAACTGATTCTTTAAAGCTCTTGTGTAGAAGATGTTACCTTGTGCAGCTTGGTGACTTTCTCGCGACAGGCCTCCATCTCCTGCCTCAGCATCCTGTTCTCCTCGGTCAGCATGTCCACCATCTGGTGGGCACGTGCCATCATAGCAAAGGGTTCCCCTTGCATGTGGGAGAAGGAGTGTGGGTGGGGGAAATGTCCAGCCTGGACTGGCGGCTGGGGCTGGGGATGTGGAGGTCCTTGGAACTGCTGTTGCTGTTGTTGCTGCTGCTGCTGCTGCTGCTGCTGCTGGTGTTGTTGTTGCTGTTGATACTGCTGATGGTGCTGCTGCTGATAATGGTGCATCCTTGGGGTGGAGCCATATGGGTCATGAGGGAAACCATGACCTCTTGGCTGGTGAATGGGCCCTGGAGTGAAGGGCTCGCCTGCTTGGTGGGACCCGGGACCTTGAGGACTGCGGGACCCCATGCTGGGGTAGGGCTCTCCCTGGCTCTGGGGGTGCAGGTGAGGGAAGGAGGGATGGGAGGAATGGGAGCCGCTCAGCATGCTGCTGAGAATGGAAGACTGGGTGCGGGACAAGGAGCCCACAGAGGTGACGGAGGATGTTGGACTGTGCTGGTGAAGGGGCCTCTGGGAGTGAACTGAACCCTCCTTACTGGACCTGAAGAGAGATCATCTGTGTAATTATATAGTTCTCAATTTCAGCTGGTGTCTGTTTGTGGATATATAGAATCCTGAAAATGTATCACAAAAAGTGTTACAGGCTGACTGGTTGTTTTTTATTATATATTTCCCTCAAATTCTACCCAAAGCGGTCTGAAACACGCTGTGGATGCTTTTTCTTTGTTTACTGAGAGCATTTGGTGTGTCTTTGGCCATGACCAACCACATATTAATTATAATCCTTATAATAACCTTAAAATATTATTGAAATCGCAATTTGGCCAAGTCCAATATGCAAAATGGCAGGATAATGGTAGAATGTGTGAAAATACAGCAAATAATCAAGTACTGTAGTGCTCGAGAGATGCCCTTGCCTACAAGTCTTAAATTAGTTCAATTAAATTTTATTTATATGGCGGCAATTCATAACAGAAGTTATCTCAGGACACTTTTAGACCATACTCTTTATACAATTATTTACAGAGAGTTCCTACCATGAGCAAGCGCTTGGCAACAGCGGCAAGGAAAAACTTCCTTTTAAGAACCTAGGACAGACCACGGCTCTAGGTGAGTGGCTGTCTGCCTCAACCAGGTCTTGTTCTCCAGATGTAAGAAAACATGTTTGTTTGGTACAGACCCCAAAAAAACTCCTTTAGGATTTTGATTGGGTTTCTTTCAGTGAAAATGAATTGCAATGCAAAAATTACCTTTCCACTAATTGTGATTCATATCACAATCACAACATCTGTCAAAATAATCGCACTATTATTATTATTATTTTTTTTTTTACCACAATTGCAGTCCAAGTTAAACACTATACTAGCATTGGAGTGGGGGGACCCAGCTGGGATTTATTTGTAAGTAATTGTTGTACTATAATTGTAATTAAATGTCCTTGAAGGGATGTAGTTCTCTGGGTAGCTCCCTAGTGGGCAGTTCCTCTCAGCGAATCCCTAGAACTGTTTGGTCTGCAAAACGCCTACAAATGTCCTTTAGGGCAGTCTGATTCACCTGCTGTTCGCTTGCTCACTGAGCAGGTCTTGTTTTTGAATAAGGTGGGAAAATACCAGCTGTAAACTGGCTTTGTGCGGAGCAAACATTCCTGCCTTTAGCCCTCAAAGGAACGTCATCAAAGTCAAGCTGAACATGTCCCGACTTGTCCTGCCCTGATGATTAAAATTCTGTGGTATTCATGGCTGTTTGAATCTGGTTCCTCCAAGGGAAACGGACAGGTGTGAAACAGGCCCAACAGGATCCTTCCTCACCATTTTGAAAAAAATTATTGGGAAACCATGAAAAGTTGTCAACTTTTGTCAACAAAACTAAAAGCATTCAGTGTTTGTTACATAATTTCATCCTTGTTAGTGTGGAAACTAATCCTTAAGGACCATTTATGCATCATTGAACAATGAAACTCCTCATGAACTTGTGGGTGTACAGCTCAGTCTGTGACACCATGCGTTTGGGAATCTGTGTGTGAAAAAGGGAAGAACAGCTAGCATCAATGAGCTTGCTGGCACCAGGCGACCAGCCTAACTGATTGATAACTGATCATCTCAGTTTATAAATTGGACCAAATAAAGTTAAATAGTAATCATGGGAAGACATCAGTGACTGTGTGTTTTTGTGGATAATCTCAAGTTCAGCATTTTTCTCAGTTTTCCACTAGATTCAGTTCAATTCAATTCAATTCAATTTTATTTGTATAGCGCCAATTCATAACAGAAGTTATCTCAGGACACTTTTCAAATAGAGCAGGTCTAGACTGAACTCTTTAAAACATTATTTACAGAGACCAAACAGTACCACCATGAGCAAGCACTAGACGACAAGGGCAAGGAAAAACTGCCTGTTAAAAGGCAGAAACCTAGGACAGATCCTCCGGCTCTAGGTGGGTAGTCGTCTGCCTCGACCAGTTGGGGTGAGAGAGAGAGAGAGAGAGACAGAGAGACAGAGAGAGAGAGAGAGAGAGAGAGAGAGAGAGAGAGGGGAGAGGGAGAGAGACAGACAGACAGACAGACAGACAGACAGACAGGTGCACAGCAACAACAGTATTGGCAATGGCAATTTAGCAGACCATAGCAGGAGGCTCCACCAGGATCGATAAGAACCTGCGAGACGAGAAAGCACAAGAACTCCGGGGAAGAAGTGAAGTTAGTAACATGCATTAATGGGACATGAATGAGTGCAGAAAGAGAGAGGAAGAGAAGAGCTCAGTGCACCATGGGAAATCCCCCGATAGTCTAGGCCTATAGCAGCATATCAAAGAGGAATGTCTTAAGCTTACTCTTGAATTTGGAGAGGGTGTCTGCCTCCTGAACCACAACTGGAAGCTGGTTCCACAGGAGAGGAGCTTGGTAACTGAAGGCTCTGGCTCCTGTTCTACTTTTAGAGACTATAGGAACCACAAGTAGCCCAGCATTCAGAGAACATAGTGTTCTAGTGGGGTAATAGGGTACTATGAGCTCTTTAAGATATGAAGGGGCCTGACCATGAAGAGCTTTATAGGTGAGGAGGAGGATTTTAAATTCTATTCTACATTTTACAGGGAGCCAGTGCAGAGAAGCTAGTACAGGAGAGATGTGATCTCTTTTTCTAGTTCCTGTCAGTACTCGTGCTGCAGCATTCTGAATTAATTGGAGCATTTTAATGGACTTATTGGGGCAACCTGATAATAAAGAGTTGCAGTAATCCAGCCTAGAAGTAACAAATGCATGGATTAGTTTTTCTGCATCTGTCTGTGATAGGATGTGTCTAATTTTTGTAATATTACGTAAATGAAAGAAGGCAGTCCTAGAGGTCTGCTTCATGTGGGAGTTAAAAGACAAATCCTGATCAAAGATAACTCCAAGATTCCTGACAGTGGTGCTAGAGGCCAAGGTAATGCCATCTAGAGTAACTATATCTTTAGACAGTGAGTCTCTAAGGTTTTTGGGGCCAAGAAGCTCATCCAGGGATTTTATGTCCTTAAGACGTGTTTGTAATTTAGATAATTGATTAATTTCATCGGGCTTGATCGATAGATATAACTGCGTATCATCTGCATAACAGTGATAATTAATGGAGTGATTCCTAATAATGTTGCCTAAAGCGAGCATATATAGAGTAAATAGTATTGGTCCAAGTACAGAACCTTGTGGAACTCCATGACTAACTGTAGTTTTTATTGAAGATTCATTGTTAACATGTACAAACTGCGAACGATCTGATAAATATGACTTAAACCAGCTTAGTGCGGTTCCTTTAATGCCAATTTGATGCTCAAGTCTCTGTAAAAGAATATCATGGTCAATGGTGTCAAATGCAGCACTAAGATCTAATAATACAAGTACAGAGACAAGTCCATTGTCAGAAGATGTGTTTTGTGGTCCTGTAGTTGCTCTTGAAACCACTCAGATGACTTGTGATGACAAACAAAAATAACAAAAGATTATAAGATTTAACATTTATTAAAAACCTAAAAGTTGGTTTTTAACATAATTTATTACTATATAAACTGTGTCTCGATTGAGAAATTCCCATGTATGAAGGTCAGAGGTCAAAATAGCTCTCCTGGAGTTGGCAAGGATTCAAGATCTTGCTCAAGCACTGTTGATGCTTCTTGTTTTCTTGTTATTATTTCATGGCTTGCTTTGGGGGCTTCATGCCAAAGTAAAACTATTTGACAGTTGCAGTTACTGTGCGTAACCATCCAAACTACTTGTGATTCAATTAGCAATGAAATGAAAACAATACAAAGGAGGTCTTACAGACAGACAGTGCATGTGTGCAGTGCAAGGGTTCCTATATGAATCACACTTTATACAGCATAGCTGTGTAAATGCCTACTTTGAAAATGTACAAAGTAAAAAAACTGCTGGAATTTTATTTTTAGTTAGTTTAATTAGTGAAATAATGGATCATTAATTAGCATATATCAGTAAATACAGAATTGATTTCTACCACTAAGATTTCTTTTAAAGATCCCCTCTAGACATATATACTAATAGTATGCTTGGAACAATTATGTGTGCCTGATATGTTTCCTGATATGTTTTTTTCTGCAAAATCTCTGCATTAAAATCCTTAAAAAGTCATCTACTCCTTCTACCTAATTAAAAATTCCAGAATCTATGAATATGCAAATGTTGCAAAGGTTTTCCTGACAGACACTAGATGTCTCCTTTTTCACTGTAATGTCCATTCTCGGTGTGTCTGCACTGGTGGTTTCAAGTTTCTACACCACTCTGTAGAAGTTGCATACTGGACCAGCCCTGACACATCAATGTTTAAATGTGTCATGGCTAATGTGGTAGCAAATTGTTTCTTATCTTAGCTGTTTTTAGTCTTTTGGACCAAGTCGAAGTCACATCCTCAAGTCTTTGAAAAACACTCAGGGTTGAATTCACAAAAGGATTGTGCGGTTTTTGCAGCCGTTAAACCAGCACAAATGAGACTAAATGAAAACTTTGTACTTCACAAAGCAAATGGTGGAATGCACACCTAACTCAGCAACATTAAATTCATTAGCATCATCACGGTGGTACTGTTGGGTCTCTGTAAATACTGTTTTAAAGAGTTCGGTCTAGACCTGCTCTATTTGAAAAGTGTCCTGAGATAACTTCTGTTATGAATTGGCGCTATACAAATAAGACTGAATTGAATTGAATTGAATTGAATTGAAGAATGTTTTAAGATACAATAAGCAACTTTCTAATATGGATGTTTATATGTTTATATCACTGAACTCACTCTGTCTTTATTGGGGACAGGTGTCTATTTGGGAAGTGCTTCTTCTCTCAAGTTTTGTTCAGCAAATTTGACAACCAACAACAACCTGAATATCAGGTCGTATTTTTTTCTTTGTGCCGCCTGCCATTACACTTGAACATGAACATTGTTTTATGGCACCCAGCATATAGACAGCGAGCAACAGACTTCACATGACAATTTTCACAACTTGGATATATTTGAATGAAACCCTTTGATCAGGGCTCCAGAGTGCGACCAATTTTTTTGAGAGTGCCACTAATAATTTTTCTAGGTCGCACCGGTGCACCTGACGCTGCCCGGGTGAAAACATAAATTTATTCCGCAAGCGCATCATCTCTCTGTGTTCTCCTGTGACTGAACTCACACACTCATGGTAGGATCATATCGTGTTCTAAACCAATAAGAGACAGAGCTCGGGCGGGTCTTTGCCTCTGATTGGCTGTGGTCCTGTTCACCGCGCTAAGTTGTGTGTGTTTAAAAATTGCCAAGCCCCAGTCCTTCGGCGACAGCATCACACTCGGAACCAGAGGAGACCACCGAGTCTGGGATAGAGCCCGGCTCCGAGACCCAAATTAAAAAGGCCAAAATATATTCCTTCAGACAGGACTGGCTGAAACAATTTCCCTGGCTGAGGTACAACAAAGGATGTAACGCAATGCACTGCGTGTACTGTCAGCAGTGCGGTCAGAATTTGGCCGGAAATAGTGCATTTGTGAGCGGGTCAACAACGTTTCGTATCGAAACTTGAAAAAAACAACAAATTGTTTCTTATCTTAGCTGTTTTTAGTCTTTTGGACCAAGTCAAAGTCACATCCTCAAGTCTTTGAGACATGAGACAAGTAATGAATTCTACTAAATCATTTAAATTCTTCTATTTCTTCTTAAATGAAAACAAGCCATTAAACATCCAGTTGCAAGTAATTAATCAAATCATCTGTATGTATGTAATTGTTTAACAAAAACACTCAGGGTTGAATTCACAAAAGGATTGTGCGGTTTTTGCAGCCGTTAAACCAGCACAAATGAGACTAAATGAAAACTTTGTACTTCACAAAGCAAATGGTGGAATGCACACCTAACTCAGCAACATTAAATTCATTAGCATCATCACGGTGGTACTGTTGGGTCTCTGTAAATACTGTTATAAAGAGTTCGGTCTAGACCTGCTCTATTTGAAAAGTGTCCTGAGATAACTTCTGTTATGAATTGGCGCTATACAAATAAGACTGAATTGAATTGAATTGAATTGAATTGAATTGAATTAGCGAATCAAGTTGAGTCTCACAGCAGATAAATCCAAGTTTAATTGCAAGTCCTCATTTCTGCAACACGACATTATGGCACCATGAATCACTAGAGTCCAAGTCTCAAGTCTGGAGCTCTGAGTAAGACTGAACCAAACACCAAATGTGCTGCAAAACTGAAAAAGAATTACTGTACTGTACATACAGTAGAAGTGCAGAGTTTGGTCATTACCGTCCCTTGTCACATTACATATAGACACTTCATTCAGTGTTAGTTAAGTATAATTTTGTATATTTACGTGTGTGTTGATGTAGAAGTAGGTGTTCCTTACCTGAAGGAGCCATATTCAGGTGGCGGCTGGTATCGGACGTGGGGCACCTCCCTCGAGTGCTCCCTCACTCTCTGCTCCTGGTAAAAATGGCTTCCAGGCTCCTGCTGCTTTGTTAGCGAGCCCATTCCTTTGAAGGGGTAGTCTGGAGGTGGGCCACGATGCTGCGGTTTGTAGTAGTCTCCCGGAGGCCCTGGCGGAGGCAGCAAGGGGGACAGCGGGGCACTTGTGACGGGAGCATGGGCCTTCACGCCACTGGTGGCCAGGGAAAGCTGCATAAGTCGTTCGCTGAGAGACCGAACATGTCCTTGCTTCAGATCCTTCAATCCATCGTCCTGGTGCACCTTCCCTGCACCGCTCACTCGCTGCACCGTGGGACGACCCTCAGTGCGCACTTTGGCACTGGTCACCCCAGTGACGTAGAAGGCGGCACCCACTGAGGCAGGGAGAGAAGGCTGCTGGGGCTGGTTGTTCTGCTGCTGAGGCTGAGGAGGACCATGGCCACGGAAATATTGGGACTGCACTTTGGCCTCTTCGTATGAAGGGAGGTCCTCTGGGTTCAGGCACTGCCCTTGGCCACTCCCACCTACTCCACTGCTGCCTCCTGCTCCTCCTCCAGACACTAAACCTCCTCCACCTCCACTGCTCCCACCCCCTCCTCCTACTCTGTTGGAGCCCAGCTTCTCCAGGCCATTGTCGGTTTGCAGCTCCTGTCCCTGGGGCTCCTGACGGGCATTGTGGGGGGTCATGGAGTGATCATCAGAAGGGCCTACCTGTCCCTGTCCTGAGTAACCTCCTCCACCTCCCCCTCCTGCTACTCCTCCTCCTTGTTGTTGTTGTTGTTGTTGTTGTTGTTGTTGTTGTTGTTGTTGTTGCTGCTGTTGCAGCACGTAATTCCGATTCATTTGCTCCTGCAGGAGGCGCTGCAGGACAGTGCTGCCGCCACCTCCTACACTGTTGCTGCTGTTGGACGACTCCTCAACTGCGGCCCTCATCTCTGCCTCACGTTGACCACGCACCTCATGGAAAGACAAGCTCCGTCCACGGTCAATACCCCCTGAGAGGATGAGGAGGAGAAGGTGGGGAGAGAGGAAGAGGAAGCAGTGTGGCGAAGGATGAATTTTATAAGGGTGAAGAATGTGAAGGAATGGAAAGAGAGAGAGAGACAGAGAACAAAAGAGAAAAGGACAAAAAGCATTAACGTCAGAGATGCACATGGACCATCCACCACCATCCTAGACCCCCAACCCTCCCACTGATGCATGACGGGACAGTAGAACAAGACTGGAGGAAGAACAATTTCTGAAAAAGCAGAGGAGCCAAGCCACCAGCAAAATACTTAATCACAAAAACATAGCACAAACATCAAAGCTAACAATTTAAATCAAAGAATAAAGACTGTGACAGCTGTGTGATGACAAGACACGGATCGTAAGCTTGATGCTCTAATAACAGTTGAGTAAACCTCAATCAGAACCTCGCTCAACATTCTCCTTTCATGCATGTAAAGGATAGAAGTCTATGTTGAAGAGACAACCAAGTTTTGAAGATGGTTTAACATAAAAGCAACATATCACATCTTAAATTAGCTAATGTTCGCAAATCGTTAAGCTAACTAACAATGGTAAATTAGCATGCTAGTTAGCTACGGTTTTGCTGCCATTAGCTAGCTAACTTAAAACGTGGCTATGTCGTTTTTATCTTTTAACCATGTTTTCCAACATACAGAGCCTAGCACATAGCATATCTAAGTACAGACAAGGAGGAAGTTGACGGAGGTTCTGAGCAAAGCCTGCTCATCAGAGCCGAAAGGGGCGGGACTTAGTAAGGGTCAATTAACGTTTCAAACATAAGTGTTGTTTACTTGTGGCACTGACAAGAAAATGTTGCAGTGTAGTTAACCAAAGTAGCACAAAACCGCTTGGCATTGTTCAAATTTACTGTGGTTTGCTGACTAATCAATGGCTACAGTGTCTGTGGATTGGACTATGAAATGCTTACAATGCAAAGAAGCTGCAGGACAAAAATAGAAACTTTACACATTACATGATGAGATATGTAAATGCATGTTTTAAGTATTACAGGATTAAAGGAAATATTTGAGAAGTAATACAGTGACTCCATTTTACCCCTTCAAACGAGCAGGAACATGATTTCCTTCCTAGAAATGTATGAGAGTGTAACCCACTGGCCATTGTGCAACAAAGATTTGCAAGAAACAAAATCCAGTGAATTGGAAATGATCACAGCTGATCCCAAGAAATTTGATTGGCAATGTTAACACAGTGTTAAAGACAAAACCAATATGTTTTCAGTTGAACATCCAACATTGTCAAAGTTAAAACCACCACCTGAGATGTGTCTGTTGTGTTTTGTCCAAATGAAAGAGGATCATTTCCTCCCAAACCATACCTCACTTCAGCGAGAGGTTTAAACTCAAAAGTGTTTATAATATCTTCTCTGCAGTCTTGAGAAACAAGTTAAATTTTTTTTTTTCTTATTTTCATTCACTGAAGTTTGTTATTAGTGTGGTTTCTTCTGACAACACTGAATGCTAACAACTCCAACGTTTTACACCTTTTTCTACAGAGTAAAGAAAGAAAATATTACATCTAGCGCTTTCTGTTATTCTTCTCATTCTCAAGGAGGAAGATGCTTTTTTCCGAAACATCTGTAGGTAAATAAAATCATATGAGACAAAAGGAAAAATGTTAGCTTTGATGGCATGACAGCAGGAACAGAAAAGAAGAAAAGTATTTATTGAATAATGAGTTGGGTAGTGGAATTTTAGATGCACAAAAGCTCTCTTTAAACTTAAATGACAATGAAAATCCACAAAATTATATCACAAAAAACAAGTACTCCAAAAAACTACTTTTTTCATTAGACATTGATAAACCTTGAATGTTTTAAGATACAATAAGCAACTTTCTAATATGGATGTTTATATGTTTATATCACTGAACTCACTCTGTCTTTATTGGGGACAGGTGTCTATTTGGGAAGTGCTTCTTCTCTCAAGTTTTGTTCAGCAAATTTGACAACCAACAACAACCTGAATATCAGGTCGTATTTTTTTCTTTGTGCCGCCTGCCATTACACTTGAACATGAACATTGTTTTATGGCACCCAGCATATAGACAGCGAGCAACAGACTTCACATGACAATTTTCACAACTTGGATATATTTGAATGAAACCCTTTGATCAGGGCTCCAGAGTGCGACCAATTTTTTTGAGAGTGCCACTAATAATTTTTCTAGGTCGCACCGGTGCACCTGACGCTGCCCGGGTGAAAACATAAATTTATTCCGCAAGCGCATCATCTCTCTGTGTTCTCCTGTGACTGAACTCACACACTCATGGTAGGATCATATCGTGTTCTAAACCAATAAGAGACAGAGCTCGGGCGGGTCTTTGCCTCTGATTGGCTGTGGTCCTGTTCACCGCGCTAAGTTGTGTGTGTTTAAAAATTGCCGAGCCCCAGTCCTTCGGCGACAGCATCACACTCGGAACCAGAGGAGACCACCGAGTCTGGGATAGAGCCCGGCTCCGAGACCCAAATTAAAAAGGCCAAAATATATTCCTTCAGACAGGACTGGCTGAAACAATTTCCCTGGCTGAGGTACAACAAAGGATGTAACGCAATGCACTGCGTGTACTGTCAGCAGTGCGGTCAGAATTTGGCCGGAAATAGTGCATTTGTGAGCGGGTCAACAACGTTTCGTATCGAAACTTGAAAAAAAACATATAAAAAACACACGATATGCCGTGACAAGTGTGTAGAGAAAGTGGCTACTCTCCCAGCTGCATTTCAGCAGCAGGTAGTAGTAATCAGGTCCTCTTTTAATTGGAAATGTTTTATTTTGCTTAGTGTTTTAGTTTGAAATTCAGCTCAGTGAAGCACTTTAAACACTTTATTTTTCTTTTTATAAATAATTGTGCTTCAAATAAAGACAAGCATTTCTTTACACCTTATTATTGTTTAAAAGTCATTCACATTATATAAAAGTTATGGAGAGCGATAAAAAGGTGACCTTATGGCGTTAAAGGTGACGCAATGAAAAATTTGGGTGCACCTACATCTTGTGCTGGTGCACCTAAAAAAAAAAAGTTAGGCGCACCAGTGCAACCAATGCAAAAAGTTAGTCTGGAGCCCTGCCTTTGATGGACCCTTTAGTCCGGAAGACCCCTACGGACTAACAGAATATGAATAATTAAGGAATATAGACAGACCATATGGTCTGGATTTCATACATCCAGATAATTTCTATAAAATCCAGACCAGGCCTCTAATGGAGACTGGAGATGAAGATTTATTTAGTGTATACCCACATCAGGCTAGTAAGGGAAACCTGCGTCTTCAAGTCTTATCCCCCTCTACATGGTCTCTTCATGGCGCATTATCTGCCAGTGTGGCTGTATCCCATATTGCTATGCTAATGACATCCAACTTTATGCATTTGAGAAACCTGAAATGTAAATAAAATGGATTAAATAATCACGCTGTAACCAAATGTGTTTATTTCAGCATTTAAAAAAATCATGTTTGACGTGTTTAAAGTAAAAACGTATACTGAGGACAGAGTGTGAGCAACAGGATGCTGACTGCAGTTCACTTAATAGCCACTGGTGTCATTATAACCTTTAATGAACATCAACCCATATTAAAGAAGCAACAACAAAATTCACATGCAACTGACTCTAAATATAAGAAGAAGCTGGGGATGTAGTGGCAGTTAAATTAGTGAAAGCAGGCAGCAGTGTAGCAGCCAGGGTGCAGAGTACAGCATTGTTGTATGCAGACTGAATGTTTATATGGACCGCCTATTGTTAGCAATTGGTTGTGGACATACGTGACTGGAGGGTATGGGACATGAGACCATAAATTGAACTACCGCTGGCTCCATTAAACACATTTAAAAATGTCTGACAAGTTAGACAGGTTGTCAGCACTGGCAGATGTTTGGCAAGGTGTGTTTTGTAGGCATAAACAAATGATCAATCAGATAATAAATATTCTGTGTAGTTATTATTGTTGCATATTGAACCTTTAAAATATCATTCCACTTATTAATTACTACAGCCAGCTAGCAGCAGGACGAGAGGAGGAGGAAGAAGGAAATAAACAACAAAAACAACAGAAAGAGAGCTGTGACAAGATGAGATGGCATGACAGATTATACTGTTAAGATGCAAGAGGCAGTGACTCTGTGAAGAGTTCCATCATTGCTTTTGTGTACATTTGATTCTTTGTGTGACATTTTGGGCGATAAACTTACATGAGTCAGACGTGAAGACTGATACCAGTTCAGTCTCATCCAGTACAGAAAAACTGATTTGGGAAGAGTCTAGCCTATACTTACACAAAGACTGATAATAACTGAAATAATGCCTTTTAACAACTCCAATGCAGTCCTATTAATGTGTTAAATACAACAGAGCCTGCCAGAGGTAATATGGTAGGGGAAAAAATGAGTGAAGGGACGGATGAACCAAGCAAACAGATTATCTTTAAAAACCAACAAACTGTAAGGGGAAAGTCTTTGAGAGAGTGGAGTTCATGCAACGATAAGACTTCGGTTAGATAGTGTCTTTTTATGGTTGGGCATGGGATGATGAAATTTAATGTCATAATTATTCTGGCCAAAATAAATCACTTTTCACGGTATATATCATTTTGCTGCATTTCAGCTAGAACACCTCAGAAAAGGCCCTTATTTCCCCATCATTCTTTAGTTTGGAATCTGTAGTAGTTCCACACATCTAGCTGAACTTTTTTTGTCTGAGCTACAACAGGAAAGCCGAGCCTTAAGCCATGGTGACTTGGTGGTTTAGGATTTTGGAAAGATGCTGGATTCCCCTTGTGACAATTCAAAAATAAATCAAGAAATCAAGTTATACCAGTTATACCAGGTGGATAAAAGCATGAAATAATAATTTGTGTTAGATAACTTGAATGCTAGAACTAAGCATGGGACCACATGAACATTTTATGTCATGATTAACTTGGCCAAAATAATTGCGATACACAATATTATCACAATAAACATTAAAATATACTTCATAGAGAAGTATACACTATTGGGCTTTTTGCTAAGACATGATCTGTTTTTTAGAGGACCCAGACATATGTATTCCCATATTAATCGACCAACTTGAGACATTTGGTTTCTGCTCGGAATACAAAATGAATCTGACTACAACGCAGATCTTAACATTCAACTACTTTCCATCTAAAAACTTACAACTAAAATATAATTTGAATTGGAGTGCAACAAAAATTAAATATCTTGGGGTCACCTTAATCCGAAAAATTTACGAATTATATGAACCCAAATATATCAAAGTGGATAAGGAAATTAGGAATGATATGGATAGGTGGGCTATCCTTCCATTAGACATTGGTTCATGAATAGAGACCATACAAATTAATATTCTCCCTCATATTCTCTACCTGTTTCAATCACCCATTGAGATACCTAAGAAACAATTTAAAATATGGGATAAAATAAAGGTTTATATGGAATGGTCATAGACCAAGAATTCAATTTGAAACATTACAGATTGAGAAAGATAACGGAGGAATATTTTCATGCAGCACAAATTAGACCTGTAATTTGCTGGTGTGATAAAGACTATGTAGCAAAATGGAAAATTTAGAGCAATTTGTACAATTAAGAGAAATTCAAAGCCTTATTGTGGACAGAGAAAAAAACAATGAGTATGATTGAACAATGGCGTTAAAGGCGACGCAATGAAAAATTTGGGCGCACCTAAATTAGGCGCACCAGTGCAACCAATGCAAAAAGTTATATACTTTATACTTTTAAAAAGACGCAAAAAAATACTGGAATCACTTACATTTTGTTGAGAAATACATCACAGATCTATACTATTTCCGGTTTAACTAGTTTTAAGGAGGGGTAAAACGGGCAAGCTGAGCATTACGCCATGTTGGATTAGGACAGGATATTTTGGGATGTCTGTAAAGATGTGGGCCACCTCTTGTCCCCTTGTTCAAAATAAATCAGGAAATCAGTATAGTATAGACTGTATGCTGGTGAGCTAGACAGCTTTTTCAAGTCAAGCCTTGTGAGGATATTCACGATTATCACAATTATCATAATACTGGAAATTCTATACTGGAGTGTTTTTTTGTTTTTTTTTAATCGCGATACATAATAATATCGTCCCATCCCTTGCTAGAACCTATGTTCTCTTGTGAGTGGACATGACAGAATGACCATCAGCCAATCAGAGCAGAGCAAAGATCACTGTGTAAGTCTTGATTAGTACAGGTTGCCTGCAGAGTTTTCTAATAACAAACTCCACCTGTTGATCAGTGCAATAGTGTGAAACCACTGGCAGGACTGTGTATATGTATGCATATGTGTCTTCACAATTGTCACAAGAAAACCAAAACAGGAACCCAGTCTTAAAAAAACGGCTGCCCCCACTAGAGGTGTATAACTTATCTGGCAAGATCAACTACATGTCATGGATTGTGTTTTGAGACATAACTTGAACTTTAACAATTGAAAGCAATTATACAATGCCTAACATGCTCACTTGTCACTTGTTCCACTTAAATGATCAGTGTTTTGACTAGTGCTTTAATTTAGATGGAATTGCATTACACACTTTTAGAGTTATTGTTTTTTTTACAAAATAATAATTTCCTGTTTTTATTCTGAAAGCAAGATGCCATACACTTAAACTGTGTGCACACATTAGTAATCTTTCTGCACTGTTTATCAATTAGTGCGCACAGACTGCTAAACTGAGTGGATGGTTTGTTATGTCCTTACACCTCCTCTGCCCTTCCTTTCTTCTCCCCTTCTCTATCCTGTCCCTCTGTCCTCTTGACTACCTGTCCTCTTCCTCTCATTTGCCCACTTTCCTTCCTGCCCGTCTTCCTCCTTATCTGTTTTCCTTTAACCAACTTACTTTCCCAAATCTCAGTAGGTTTCTCCCTCTTACACCTACCTGTATGGCTATTCTCACTACGCTCTCCTGGGGGCATTAGTGGCAACAGCTGCTCATGTTGCAATGCTGCAGCAGGCCCAGTGGGAGTCCCGGACAGGGCTTGGTGAGGGTGAGCAGGATGGTGCTGATAGTACAGTTGTGGGTGGAGGTGGTGATAGCGTGGTAGTGGCAGGTGGTTAAACTCCTGGTTCTGGCTGTCCTGCAGGCTCAGCAGGTCCTCAAGGGGCTCCAAGAAGAGAGGCGCTGATTGGCGTCACTGAGACCCAAACACTCTGCAGAAAAAATAAGTGAGGTTTATTTTTATCACATTGAACAAACTCGCCCTGTGGTTGTATGCATCCACTAAAGTTGCAGTTTACATCCATTTCTATCCAGACTCATAGAATAATATGTGATGAAGAATTTGAAGGAATTGAATACAAGGTATAAAGAGTATTTTTTGGTTAAATGGAAGTTATCACTATATTGCTGATACATATGTTTGATTCCAGTGAATATACATGTTTGAACTGAGTTTCACCTTTGCTTTTGGAAGGGGAGGGTGAAGCGAGGGAGTTCCTGCAACTATACCACTTGATGCCACTAAAAGGCTACACACTGGACCTTTAAATTATGGCTAAAAACCTATTTTTGAGTCAAAAGTCACCAATTCAGTGTCTGACCAACTGTGAAATATGGTCACAATCTTTCCTTCTGTTCCTGAATTATAGTTTTGAATAAAATTTTGCCAAAGAAATATTCTATTTCAAGGGCACTATGATGTTACAAAAATGTTAACCCTTGACCTTTTGGGTATGCCATTAAACATCTGGTGAAATTTAGAGGTCACAGTGACCTTTGACCACCAAAATCTATTCATTTCATTCTTCAGTCAAAATGGAAGTTTGTGCCAAGTTAGTAGAAATTCCCTCAAGGCGTTCCTGAGGTATCGCATTCACAAGGAATTGGACGGATGGACAAACAAAAGGAAAGTATGCTGCCTCTGGCTATGGCTATCGTGGCGTGGCGTGCAGAGAAAATGGGAGACTATTTGGGGAAGTAAGTGTCAGACCCACAACTTAAATAAAGAGACAGTGACAGCATGGCAGGAGGATGATACGACAGATCCTTGTGATGTGGTCTTGTATTTAAAGTAATCACGTCCAAAGTCTGACTGAAACTGAAGCTGAACACAAAGCACTCTGCAGAAGTCTAAACAACGCTGTTTCCAACGCTGAAAATGTGACTTTAAATTCAGACACTTAAGGAAGAGCTGTTCTCTCTACCTGTCTTTTTTTACTATGCTATTAGTCTGCTCCTACACACACACACACACACACACACACACACACACACACACACACTTGCACCCACGCACACACACACAGTGAGTGTCAGTGCAGTATATCATGACAAACACACATACAGACACAAGAACGTTTAGACCTTGGTTGCTGAGTAAACTGTTTATATAAAAGGGGGAATGGAGACAGGGGTGTTTGGGGGAAGAGGAGGCACTCAGAGGGGGAGTAATACATCTGGAAGTAATTATTTTTCTTTTCAGCAGAGGAGGTGGATTAGTTCTGTTGTCATACTGATTATCTTACTCATACTGTCTTCTGTGTTGCCAAGATGTTAACATGTAACCTAAAATTCAAAAAATGTGTGTGTGTATACACAAAGAGGTACAAACCCCCCTCCCTTCTGAGCTCATACAGGCATAGCTAGGAATCAGAGCTGCTCTCCCTTACTCAAGGTTTACATTTTTATCCAAAACGCTCCTCCTCACTCTTCTTTGTTACTACTTTTCCTGACACACACACACACACACACACACACACACACACACACACACACACAGAGTTTATTACCTAGTCACTAAATAATAGCAGTCCTCTGCACACAAACTTTGTTTGGACCATCTCTGCTGTTTGAAATAATGCTGTCATCATTTGTCAAGATGGCTTTAACCTGACTTAATTTCCTGTCACACAACCAGAGAGCAGCGTGGGAACAAGACAACACAGCCCATTGTAGCACCTCATCAGACTTAAAGCGGGCTGTCTAGTATGGATTTTTTTTCCTTCTGCTGTGATCAATGCAACCTAAACTAAACCAATGTACAGTGGAGTTGCAGAGGATGAAGCAGCCTGAAGAATATAAGCTGCTCTGTAATGGTGGTATGCCAACATCTACTGCTGTATCTGCAGCAGAGCAACAGGCCGTAGCTGGGATAGGCACTGTCTGCATCTCACCTCACCAAGACTCAAGACTAGTAGCCGCCACAATTGATGTTTGGTAAAAAGTAACATGACGATGACCATAATGCCACATTCAAGGCTTCAAAACGGTACTCCACAAACCGATGGGTGACGCCACAATAGGTTGACACTTGGGTTAGACCAACTAAAATGTTAATCAATTACCTGCAAAATCACTACAGGCTGCAACTAAACGTATATATTTCTTTTTTAAAAACATTTAAGTGCGTATGTGGCTTGCAGTATAAACATCCATGTCAAAACCATCTCCACTTCCACTCTGGGCTCTTGGACCTGCTTCTCTGTCTCTCCCAGATTGTGGACACAATGATAACCATTTCAATGTCTTTTTACCACAAGATTTTTGAAATTTGATTGTCTTAAATTAATGATATATGGTAAATAGTAAATGGACCTGTACTTGTATAGCACCTTTCTAGTCTTCCGACCACTCAAAGCGCTTTTACAGTACCTGCCACATTCACCCTTTCACACACATTCACTCAGTGATGGCAAAGCCCACTTATTCATACACATTCATAGCAAGGCTGTTTTCACAACATACCTGGGGTGGCGTGAAAGCTGTACTCTATAACTGTGGACTGGTGTGCAGCAGCTTATTCAGAATTTAGTCAGCTGAGAATATTATTGCAATATATAATATTATTGCAAATATACACATGACTACGGAAGCCCTAAAGGGCCATGCATTCATACATTTTATTTCCTCCGTTTTCCCGTGATTTTCTCGAGATAACGAAACTTTGTTTTTCCGAGATAACGATATAATTAATTCGAGATCTCAAGATAATGACTGTGATACAATAACTGTGGTCAAGCCAGCCACACTTAAATTTAAAGCGTATTCACTTCCGGTTTTCAAAATAAATGTATTAAGAAAAGTAAGCTATAATTCGAACCTACATTTAAAATAAAATATGTTACATTGAAGTGTTTCATGTGCCCATAATGAATAAAAAACATACTTAATATCAAGCATTTTACTGCACCAATGTGGAGAAATGCCAAAACAAAAGTTCCATATTTGTATCTCCCAAGTGGCATCTTTTCTCATATTTGAGGTACAGTAAAAACATATTGCTCAACAATTCCTGGCTATGGATGGTATATTTGACTGCTACACATATAAGAATACAAGTATACTTCATATCAAGCATTTGTACTGCACCATTGTGGAGAAATTCAATAATAAAAGTCCCATATTTATACCTCCAGATTCAATATTTGACCCTATTTGAGCTACTGTAAAAACACTTTGCTCAATAATTCCTGGCTATGGATGGTATATTTGACTTCTACACATGTAAGACTACACACACACTTAATATCAAGCATTTTTACTGCACCAATTTGGAGAAATTCAACAATAAATTCCATATTTGTACCTGTTTTTACCTTACTCTGTGTGCTTGCCACAGTATTGTAAGTCACAGTACCCACTGGATAGACTTTGCAGTGACACCAACATGTTACCACAAGCATTTGTTTCTGCATAACGGAAAAAACTGATTTCATGTCAGTGCCTATCGGATATCATACACACTGATACCGATATGTCTGTGATAGGCCAATACTGACCGATATTATTGGTCAAGTAATACATCAGTCGGACTCTAATTTTCATTTTAGTCTTTAAGGAGACACATATTCAATTTAGGAATTAGAAAATAGAGAGAGTAAATACCCCGATGACGACAAATACAAAAAGAGACACAAGATACTGTAAATGCACTGAAATCAAGAAGGATTTCACAGCTTCATAACAGCAGAGAAACTATAAACTCTTGGAGAAGAAAGTTCCAAGGTGTCTTTGGCTTTGATGAAAGCTGAAAAATATTTTAATGTCCTTTTCACAGACCAGCGATTAAGAGCTTTATCTTTTTTTCTCCATTAACAACAAAAAAAATAAATAAATAACACCCTCTACCCTGTTTTCATCTTCACAGCATAAAACTGAATTCATGTTCTCTGTTCGAATCACTGGTAAAAGGTGGCTCATACGTATTATTTAAATGCTCCTACCTGTATAGCTTTCTCAGAAAATGTGAAAAACTAGAAGGTAATCCAACGTTTGTTGTTTGAGTGTGTCTGTTTTACAGATATCTGCTTTGTGCAGGTTTGAGACGGCGCACCTCTATTTCCATTTCCACCCCCCCTCCTCTTCCCTCACTCCGACAGGTGGGGCTGGGAGGTTGGGACAGGTGGATTTGGCAAGTATTCAGCACTGAGCCGCTCCTTCATACCTATCCTCTAGTCTAACTGCTTTGCCAGCGTTTACTCTGCCAACCGTCAATGAGATAAATACTCCAGACAGTAACTTCCCCTTTCACTGCTTTAACAACAACAGGGTGGACTGCTTGACGGAGAATGCCTTTCTTCTTCTTTCTTGTGATCATAAAAAAGATAAAATGGTGTTTTACACTGCAGAGGACTTCCTTAAGCAGATAATCTCCTTGCTACTTTTTTCATTTCAGAGAATATATGCTGTGCACAAAACACAAAAACACAGTCCAACTAAAGGAAGCACAAGGACTCTGTATGGTGCAACAGATTAACACACAGGAGACAGAAAGAGACCAAGAAGACGTGAGTCAACAGCAGTGTCTAGACATGTGCTTCACAGTCACCAAATCTTTACATGATGACACAGACAGCTGATTCAGACATGACAGGAAAACATGGGATACATAGTCACATGACCTGCAGCTCCTGTCATCCGGACACATCTGGAAGTCAAAGCTGCAGAGGATGCACTGCACTGTTAAAGTAAGGATTTTATTGGGACGCCTTAGCGCTCAATTCTGATTTATTGCTAAGATTTTATTTTTTTGTTTGGCAGTTCACATTACTTTTTAAATGAGGCTCGTATCAAATTCCACTGTAAACTTGTCAATGTGACCCACGTGACGAATGTTAATCTAGAGTGACATAAATAAATAGTCACATGAATCCTGATATGACACAATGAGGTCAATGCAAAAAATCAGACCACATATGAAAATAGCCTAAAT